CTCGGAGACTGCCGCGGTAAAGCTATTGCATAGAATTTTTTATCAACTTATGCAATTATAAATCGACAATAATAATTTAATATTAAAACAACAATAAAATAAGATCCGGCGAGAAATTCAGTGGGGTAACTTTCAATGAATCTGCTACATTGTGAGTATTCCATTTTGACCGCGCACTCACTAGAGGGCACTACATGGGATAGAGACACGCCTTTGGATGCTAGTTCTAACTCTCATTCGCCCAGAATCAACGGTTTAGCTAGTTTATTTTTAATGTCACTCCAATCACTGAGTAGTAGGAGTAGTAATAAAATTCTTCGACTAAGCGATAGAAAATGGCACGCCCGACGCATTGTAGTGTGATATAATTTTCTATTTTACAATTCCGTTTGTCGCCGATAGATGGCACTTGACGCAAAAGCTGAATCGCGCTATCGTTGTGCTACCCACGAAATTATATCACATATTTTGATAGTACATAAATCGGTGTTTAGACTTCTTACTTTAAACACTACACAAGCGCAACGTGTGAATGTTTTGAACGCGGGCTACATAGTAGGCGTAGTGAGGGGTGGAAGGTTTTTTTCGTTACGGAATTTCATGATTCCGCTCTCAAGGCCCGCGATAAAAGCTTAAAAATCTTTAAATAATCTTAAAATGTAATTTAAAAAGTAAAAAAAATTTTTTTCACGAATGCCGATTGCACCTTTGTATATGTGTGTGTGTGTGTATCAGTGTCCTGAATTTTTATGCATTCGCGCCAATGGAATAACATACAACGTAGTATATAGGAGCCTCCTACAATAATGGCTGTACTAACGAAGCCGCGGGAAATAACTAGTATTTATGTATATATATGCATAGGCAAAGACAAATGAATTTAATAAATTTTTTTACTCCGCTTATTAACGGTTTTTTTTTGTATTAATAATAGCCCTTATTGACGAGGTTAGTGTAATCACATTTTTTATTGCTATGATGGATGGACAAGCTCACTATCAACCTAGTGTTAAGTGGTCACCAGAGCCCATAGACATGAAGCACGTCTGTGCCGCCGCCCACCTTGAGACACTGGCCTATAATAATATATTACTCATTAATAACGTATTCGCTCTACGGCTTCTTCAACGTTTCTTAATCTCAACAACTTTCCGCTTCTTAAATATTTCGAGACAGAAACGTATTCAAACAAATATCCATCTTAATCTTATAAATTATCCTTCAAATAAGTGTATAAAATTTTGATGGATAGTATTAAAATATGCTCAGTATTAGAATGTAAATTATTGTATACTAAAAAACTATTCAATCAACAGCCTGAAAATATATTTAAACCGACTGACGATCTTACTCGTACTATATGGCTTTAAATTAATTTTTGTTTTCATTATTAAATCTAACAATAGTTTCATATGGTTATATGTTTTTACTTTTGCTCAAGTATGTACATTTTGAAACATCGCATCTAAGCCACAGAAACTGTACCTAAATATCATAAATAACTCACTCATAAATATATCGTAAAACGTTTCTCCTGTATCATTAAAATGTGTATAAAACAGAAATAAAGTGGTAGGTAAATAAAGTATGAAATGTACATCAAATGGAAATGATTTCAAGAAGCAAGATAGGAAATTCTATTTATAATACCAGCTGGCATTGAAAATATCCAATGCTAAGGTCAATTTCACAATGCTCGAGGAGCTTTGCTCTTTTCCAGAAAAATAAATTGCTTTGAATATTCCTCTTTCTATAAAGCGCAATGTTTTGTTAGTGGTTGCAAAACAATATTTGATATTAAAAATAACGGTGGCTTAATACTTTTGCATCTATCAAGAGCAGGACAATTATAAATTAGAGTTTCGTATAAGTATACTTAGGTATATATTGGTCTTCTAAATATTAATTCTTATAAACTAAACTGTCAAAATAATGTATGTACACTTTTTTATGTATTCATATTTGGCGTTTTAAGAGAAATTTTATCTAGTATCGTTCTTGAACAGTAGTCTCTAAAAAAGTGTGCTTTAATATTTTAAGCAAGATTTAGCTTTGACTGTTTCTCGAAAGATCCCTAGAATTTTCGGCAGTTTTTCGTAGATTTTTTTTTTGGTCAGGGGGAAATCGCCGGACTTCCGCTCTCCCCTGGGGATGGAGGGCGGGGCGTGTCGGAGTCGAACTGACTAAAACCTCCTGTCGCTCAACAACCCGCCTCCGAACCTCGCATGAGTCAGAAGTCATGAAAAGGCAAAGGGGGGAAAGTGAAGCGTTTAGTGCGGAGCACATCTTTCCCATCACCCTCCCCCTCGGGACGCCAGACCGGCGGTCGTCGGCGCCACGACCACCAGCTCTTTCGGTCGGCAGGCTATCCGGAGCCCGCCTAGATGGCGCCGGTTAGAATAGGTTATCCTACGGAATACCCCGCTGGGTCAGAAACAGCGTGGGTCGAGGATAGCCGGCCTTCCATCACCCGGATGCTCTTGCGTAAAACGTGTGCAGAGCAGCTTGCACGTCGTCTTCTTAGGCCCCCTTCGCCGGTCCACTACGGTAGACCAACTTGTGAAGGGGACCCGAAACACTTAGAGGGCCAGGGCTTTAGCGAGATCCGCCTCCCTGGCCCCGGCGGCGGGCTTGTGCATCTCTCACGCGCCCCGCTGCCTCCTTCTGCGAGGTGGTGCACTCGCAGAAGTCGAGCATCGCCTTCCACGACTCGTCGTCGCCGAGAATTGATGCCACAACACTCGGCAACGACAAGTCGTTTCCTATTTTTGCGACGAGGACACGGTGCCACCCCTCCCATGCGGAGCAGGGGACGAGCGTGTGCTCCGCCGTGTCCAAGTCGCAACCACAATGGTGACACTCTGCCGTCGGCTCGTCTCCGATCCGGTGCAGGAACTCACCGAAGCAACCATGCCCAGTGAGCACCTGCGTGAGCTGGAATATGAAGTATCCTCTGTCACGATTCACCCAGTCCACAAGGACTGGGCGAATCACCTCGACGGTCCTACGACCAGCCGAAGGATCGGCCAGCCGCCTGGACCATGATTCCAGCACGGACCGCCGTGATTGGACCCTGCTCTGACCACAGTGGGGCTGGAACGCGCCACGCCCCGGGCCGAAGGTCAGCCTGCCACTGATAGTCAGCGGCGAGCGCCTCCGCCTCCAGAACCCAAAGCGGTGTCCCAGCCAGTACACACGCTGCCTCGAAAGAGATGGTGCGATAACCACGGATGACCCTGACCGCGATGGTGCATCGCGGCCGTTGCAGCAACTTCGCTACCCCCACGGCCAGAAAATGGCCCCACACGGACGCCCCGTATAGGGCCATTGATCGCACCACCCCTGTATAGAGACGGCGCGTCACTTGGGCAGGCCCCCCGACGTTGGGCAGGAGCCGGCTTAACGTGCCGGCCACCCCCAACAAACGAGGGACCAGGATCTTAAAGTGAGATAACATGGTTAGTTCAGTGGTTTTCAAAAGTATACCTTTTGGTGTACACTAACCTAAATTGTTCAGAAAAAAATCGCTTGACTTATGTTTAATTAGGGAGTTTCCTTTTTTATTTCGTCGATCCTAAATAATGGATATCAGTAAAAATAAAGAGGGACACCGTCTTTTTTTTTATTGCTTAGGTGGGTGGACGAGCTTACAGCCCACCTGGTGTTAAGTGGTTACTGGAGCCCATAGACATCTACGACGTAAATGCGCCACCCATCTTGAGATATCAGTTCTAAGGTCTCCCACCCATCTTGAGATATCAGTTCTAAGGTCTCAGTATAATTACAACGGCTGAACCACCCTTCAAATCGAAACGCATTACTGCTTCACGGCAGAAATAGGCAGGGTGGTGGTACCTAACCGCGCGGACTCACAAGAGGTCCTACCACTAGTTAAGTAACCTAATTTAAAATCAAAGCAAAATAAAGAAAAGAAAGAATGGAGACTTTCAAGAGCATCTATTTGCTTTTAGACCGAGCAGCTTCGACTGATATGTGAAACTTTAAATTTGATTACGTATTGCCTTGAATGCATTCCGGTCTTCCATTACCGACTGATTTTGGAAGCAAGCAATATTCAATTGTGTGTTTATAAACTCGCTCAATGGATATAGAGTGCAGAATTCAGTGAAAGAAAGTAGGTACGGGTATCTTTTTAAGAAAAGTTGTGTTGTTCACAATGTATTGTGAAAGGTGAATCCGCACACTGCATGTTTCTGCCGCGAAGTACTGAAATTTGTTTGAAACTTCGAGAAGATGTAGCAAGGTAGGCGAAGGCGTTCACACTGTCAAATCCAATGGGTTTCTTGACCAGTTAACATCTGTTTATTAATAACAATTTCAAATCTTGTTCTTTTTATTTGCTAATATTGTACATTGCGCGCGAGTAACAGCTTCGAGTAAGCACGGAATGCGTGCGCCAGTTGCCTTTTCTTTGCGTTGTAGGTAAATAGGGACCATGTTAATGATGATTGTAATGACTTATTCGACAGCGATGGGGCAACGCAAAGCTACCGTTGCCCGAAACATGTCTTGTCGTATTCCCGGATTCACTCTCGTTGTTTTTAGGCCTTTCCTACACTGGTCACCGTCCTCGTCGAAATCGTCGATTACAACGAAGACTTCGACGAGCAAACTCACTCATAGATAGACACAGCCAATTGAATTTCTCGCTGGATCTTGTCAGTGGGTCGCGATTCCGATCCGCTGATGGATTCTGCGAAGCACTGCTCTTGTTAGGGCTAGTGTTAGCAAATTCGCTCAGGTTGAGCCCGCGAGCTCATCTACCCATCCGGGCGTAGCTGTAATACCTCCTTAGATAACCAGCGAATAGGTAGGGAAAAATTGTGATGATTATGATAATTAACTATGTATAAAGTGAATATTTCCGTTCACGTTGTCAAACTTACTCAAAATAATTTCTAAATTCTATGTGTAAGAAAGGTTTGGGTTAAGATCATGTTTTTAATATATTTATTTATTCATTGTGTACTCTTTTGCAGGAAGCCTCGGTATTTGTCTTCGATAAAAAGCTTGCCGAAAGACTCTATAAGCCGAAACGACGGGAGCAGTTGCTCGAACGTATCCGTATTGGCATAGACAATTTAAAGCGAAAGCCGAGCATCACGAAAACGCTTGCTGTCATGCACGGTGCCGAAGAAAGCAACGGCTCTTTGATATTCGCTACAGAACCCATCTTGGCTAGTTTGGCCAATATATTGGCATGGCATGTAAGTATAACTACGACATTCATTAACAATAAAATTAAAATAACAATTTCAGTTATTATCATACTCAAAGACTGAATTGTCCTATTGGACTCGTAATTAATTCGTATTTGTTTATATTGCTAATGATCATCGCACATAACTTATCTGCAATTCCAACTTTATTCGCATTTATTCATATTTTATGATTTATTTAATAATTTTATTCTGCATCCTTACTTTTTATTTAATCATTCCTTAATACGAGAGAGATATAGCGAATAGAAGAACTCCGTTCCAACCGGCTTTCCATAAGACACCAGTGTCTTTTTTACTAAATTTAAAAAATAAAAAATTCGGTCTAAAATAAAGTAATAATTTGGGAAACACCCAAGCAACTTTTTGGGCTTTCCAGATAAAATGTGGAATAAAATCCACAAGTTGAACAACGAACAATTGAATCTAAAGTATGTTCTGCATGTTAGAATTTTTGTCGTTGAAAAATGCGAGCAGAGTGTTAAATTGTTGATACTTTTAAAAGTAGTATAAACTTGTTCACAATTCCATTTTGATAAAGTGCTGGGAATGAGAACTAAGTGAAAGTGAAAACGAAGTATTACTCGCTACTCGGGATGCCGCTATGGATAAATGCTGAAAGGTCCCGTTAATCTTAACCTGTTGCTTTCCTTTCGCTTTTATTTTATCCTGATTCCGCTTTGCATCCAATGTGTGGACTATGAACGTAAAATATAATATTTTTCTCGGTCTTGTGCGAGAGCTGGAAAGTTTGAAGTTAGTCAGGTGACATTATGTTTTCAATTTCTCTAAAAGTCTCATTTCGTACGTAGTAAAAAGTGTGCTCGTTAAAGCTAATGGCTTCTCGGTAATTTATTGAAATTTAGAATATCTGGTTGAGTTGTTGGCTGTTATTGTCGTCACCACAAGGAGGCCAGACATACATATCGACGCTTGAAAGGCAAACGTGACTAAGCGACAATAACTGCTTTGTACATAAATGATAGGCAATAACCATATTCGATGCGCAAAAAATATATATTTCTAGGGCTACTAGAATCATTTCAATCCTACAGCTAGATTTGTTAAAATAGAATTTATTTCAGGTATTTCAACTTTAAATTAGTCTACTGTAAAGTTCACGCATTGTCGCTTAGTCACGTTTGCCTTTCAAGCGTCGATATGTATAATGGGACCAACATGTTCACTTAGTACTTGTCGTTTAAATTTATATGTAATTCGTTCTGTTATCAAAAGATCAAAGTAAAAACAAAATTCAACATAAGCGATAACCCTGTCGCTTCCACCTTTATGTAAAATCTTTAAATGGCCACACGTAATGAGCACGTCAGTCAGTCAGTAAATCAGTCTACGGTCAAAGGTTAATTATTAGTCAATCAGTTTACTTCGGTTGTCCCTACGCGTATTGTATTGTAGATTTACTTGTAGCAGTAACAAAACTTGTCTCATAAAAGAACCCACTGACGGCCATCCCGATAGCACCTGCCTGCAATATAAGGTGAATCTCCCACATTAAATTCTCTAAATCGCCGTTACAGAGTTTTATTTGAAATTTCATCGCACTTAGGTCGTACGTTTTCTTTATTTTGGACACACAACAATCGCAAATGTAATATCTTTGGTTTCCATGAACTCTGTTGTTATAGCAACGTTTTGACTTCGCTCAAGTTTCACTTCCACGAATATTCTACTTTTTGTGTCACTTTTTTCTGATTAGTTCAAAGCCATATACGAAGACGCTATGGCCTAATGAGTAAAACATTTCGTTGTATTCGAATCGACTGTACTTATAAATAATACATGTTCAAACATTACTTCGACGTTAATAAAGTATCTGCTATCGTGTAGGTAAAAGGTATTATTTATACCTTTTATGAATTGGATGATAGAAAAGCTGGAGGTAGTTCCTAGATAATGTCCCGGACGGCTAGTTACAACTATTCTCCTAGTATCTGTCGCGAAGCAGACATATATTATATATTTTGGTGTCGTGGGTGGGGCAGCCATTATACAAAACTATGATTAAAATTTAATTGCGACTTTTGCTTCATATCTCCAGCGGAGTCGTGAGGACCCAAAAAAGATTGTACTGATATCGGTATTTAACGTAATTTGCACTAAAAAGAAAATTAGTATATGAAATTCACAACTACGTGTAGCTTTTCCGTTTCGATAAGTTTAACTTCGACACGTCCATAAAGTAGAAAACATTTCAAAGTAATTTCGCGCAACGGTGTTTTTGAAATTTCTGACGCGTTCAGTATGGCTTCGAGAACAGAACTTTTAGTTGGTTCATTCAACAAGTTGTCATCGAAGTTCAGATCTTTAATTGCATTTATCAAATACGTAATGTATTGGAATTGAAAACTGGCATGAGCTGTCATTATTTGAATTCGAAGGCTGAATCTAATAAGTTGAAACTACTAATCAACCCCACCCAAAACGTAGCATGTCCTTAATAACTGACACATCGTTCATTCTGAAGACATACTCATATATTACTGGATACCAATTAAAAAGTGTTGGAAGCTTTAAGTACTCGAGATCTTCCGTCAGCAACTTGAATGTGATGGAGGTAAAAATCAAGTCTAATATACCCACAGGAAACAGATAGAATAGAACAAGCAGAACACTTTTAATGCCCACAACAAAATCCTCAGTTCTAAACATCTCACCAGAAAATCGAATCTGTTCATCTACAATGCAGTTATTAGGTCTATTGTGACCGCAAACATTATAATATTATTATATATCAAGAAGATACGAGTAATTAATAGAATCTAGCAGATTTTGCGAGGACGCTGTTTAGTAATATCTTTCGCTCCGTGTAAAAAGCCCTTATATGTGACGTTATGTTCAAACGAGGCTTGCAGAGAGTAACCAACGGGAGGCAGCGACTTAGCTGTGCCCCTGGTATTGCTGACGTCCATGAGCGACAATAATCACTTACCATCAGGTGGGCTGTATGATCCTACAATGGCCTACAATGGCAAAAAAAAACCACAAACAAGGAAGATCTAGAGGCCGAAGCAGATAGGAAAAGGAAGAAGAAATCAACGGGTGAATAAGAAAGGTTCTCGCAGAGAAAAACATGAAATTCAGAGCAATTATTATGGACAGGAGTTATTTTTTACATTATATAGCTCGCGCCACAATTAAAATCGGATTTCGGAGGATCCTTTGGCGTGATTTCGTTTGCGATATATTGCGAGCTCACAAGTTATTATGCTTATGTAAAAATATGTAAACATTTTTCTTTTTCATATTAGAATTATAGTTACTGCCGATTCAGCTTCGGAAACGATCTCTATACTCTGTTTGTACTTTTTTTTATTTTGTATATCTTAAATTAAAATACAGGAATCAAATATACCATCGGGAGGACCACAGCCTATCCGGCCATTTCCAATGAATTTCGGAACGCCTACTGGCTACCAGCCACCACCACCACCACCACCGCCGCCGCCGCTATGCAGCACCGAATACCACTTCTTGGATATTGAGCTCCGCTTCGGCTTTCTCCAGGTAATTTCTTTTTGTGTAATAAAATGATTGATTAAAGATTCTGAACAGAGGATAAACGACTCTTTAATATGAATAAAGTAGTAATAATAATCTCGTACAATTAGAGGCATATGTAAAATAAATATAATTAATAAAAAATACATCTTCTGATCTTCTGAAATGTGCCGCCATTACAAACGGGTCCTTCTTCGCAGTCAACGCAAATCTCTTACTCCCACTCAAAGTTTACTCCTTAAGAATTAATTTCATATATAGAAATCGGTATGAAGAATTGATCATTAGTACAATGGAGTCTAACAAAAAGCATTCTATATAATTTTCTTTTCTATACTTTTCTTATGAAAAATGGTAATTTCAAATGCAATGAGATGAGGTGAAATATAATCTCAGTAAAATGGTGGTCATTTACTCAGACTTTTCAGTGGACTTTTTGGACGATCCCGAGAAGCTACGTCCAGCGGCTTTGTTTCATTTTCCCACATTGTGTTTCACAGTTACTAAGGTAGTTAATAAACCACCGTTATTATACATTTAAATCTGAAGAAACACTCAATAGACAAAATAAAACAAATCACACAACTTCGCTCCTCGCGTTCCCGCCAAAAAGTTTCTTAATATATCCTTTTCATTAAACAGAATAATGAACTTTACGGCATGACACTTAAACTCAGTTTATTGTTAGTTCACTCAAATGTTAAATAGATGAAGACAGTCCAGAAAACGGTATAAACGAAATAAAAAGTACAGATTTATTTAATATACTACCTATTGCATGAGATTGATCTCAGTGAAAAAATTTAAGCAGCCTTTATGTGTACTGCGACGTATGTACTGAATTATATACATACGGACATCAATATACCTAGATAATGAAACAAGTTTTTTCTTTCAAAAATACAATTTTATCTGCTATGGTAAAATTATTACCCGAAAGTTATATTCCTTACGTTCAGAAATAAAATGAACGATTGAGTTAACCCATCGAAAAAAAATATATCGGTGGAACAGTAAAGTTCACTGAAACGTATTTCAGGGAAACTGATTTCGTTCATACGGACGAAAGCCAGATTTAAGGTGATATTTATATCAGTCTATTGATTTATTTACACAATCCCAGAAGACTTGTTTAAGAAAAAACTCGAGCCTCCGGTTTCTTTGTAAAATTTTCCTTCATTGTTTTATTTATGTGACCGAATCACGTTATTGAAACATTGAAACAAACACGTTTAAAGATTCCGTTACATAATATATAGGGGGAAGCCAACAAAAAAGTGTTAAAAAGAGTATGATTATAAATTAATACGCTTAAACACGTACGAGTAGTTTGCGAACTATACCTATTTTATTTAAAAAAAATGGAAAAAGTCACATTTATTGTCGCCAAAACAAAATTATGTCAATTACAAAAGAAAACAGAAAATATTATAGCATAAATACGTTATGTGTTCACGTATTAAAAAAATAAATCAATCAAAAGTGTTTGATAAACAAATTTACATTTTGAATTTTTTCCTGACGTTCTTCTCCAATTCATTTTGACTTTGCTAAAATTCCGCTTAAGTTTCGTTCGACTTAGCTTGTTTTGCAGTAACAGTAAGAAAACATTGGCACTAAACTAAATCAAACAATCTGATTTAATAAAAGGGAGTTATTTGGCCAAATGGTTAGGTTATGGTACTCCCTGCTTTCAAATGTAATTCAAATACAAAGGCGGGCCGCTGTATTTACGTAACGTTGTCAGGAGGCTACAATAACGATTTAACACCCAAGTGCAACGTGAGCTCTGCTGTCAATTTACGGCACGAAATATAATTTAAAAAAAATATTTTATGCCTTTGACGCCGCAAAACTCTCACAGCAAAGGGTTCCTGTAAATTTATTTACTATTGCCGTCTTCACTTTGAAATTTGCTTCAAAGAGAAGTTATGTTTCTATGTTTATATGTTTATATACTTCTATGAAAACTAATCGTATTTCAGTTGCACGTGTATCGTTATGTACATATTTTTATATTTAAATAGATCGTAGAGGCTCTGAACCATCTTCACTACAATTTGAAGCAAGTCCATCGCAATATAAATCCTCACGCCATCATCGTGACGAAGCGTGGAGCTTGGAAGCTGTTCGGCTTTGATTTTGCCGGTACGTATGAACACAGATAAATCTTTGTTAACAGCAATGTTACAGTGTTGCGTTAAGTTGTTCATAGAAGCAGAACATCTCTCGATAATTATTATTTGAATCAGTCAGGCATTGATAATAGTTTGCAGAGATCAGACCTTGACATTCTGATCACATTGTGACTTTGAAATAATTCAAGCGAAATCTACGGAGATGAAGGAAACGAAACCTTGAAAGCGATGTTAATAAAATAATTCTTTACGGATCAGAAACTTCTTGCAGAAACACCGTTGCTTTTATATTTATGTATGTAAAAAGTTACTATCTGAAACAAATACGGCGTAAAATGTTTCTTTTTAATTCGAAAAATACGAGCAATAAAATAAATTTATGGTGGTAGGACCTCTTGTGAGTCCGCGCGGGTAGGTACCACCACCCTGCTTATTTCTGCCGTGAAGCAGTAATGCGTTTCGGTTTGAAGGGTGGGGCAACCGTTGTAACTATACTTGAGACTTTAGAACTTATATCTCAGGGTGGGTGGCGCATTTTCGTTGTGGATGTCTATGGGCTCCAATAACCACTTTACACCAGGTGAGTTGTGAGCTCGTCCACCCATCTAAGCAATAAAAAAATATATCTTAATTTTGATATGTATGAAATATATTTTTTTTAACGAAAAGCTCTTTCCGCTCATGGATTTTATTGCGGCCGTGTTTATTATTCGGCATCCGTTGTTTGCGGTCCTCAAGAGAGCTTTTTTTTTTCACTGGTGCTTGAGCTTGGCTAAACGGGACACATGTCACGTAAAAGCCGTCATCCACCTTGAGACATTACATTTAACATTCAATTGTGTTTAATAGCAGCAGTTTCCCCCTTCAAACCAGTACGCATGTCTGCTCCGCGATGGGAATAGGTACAATAGAGACACTTACCTTTGCGGGTTTACAAATACGCCTTACTACCACTAATTATGCACATTTATAAAATTCGCTAGTACGATTTATTACACGATGTTATTCCATCATCGGGGAATTCGTTCGTAAACATGTGTTAAGTACGTATTTCCTTAGGAAAATTGGCGCCTAATTGCTATATTTAAACACAGATAGTTTGATATGAGTAAGCTGGTCATCTTATTCGTTATACTAGTGGTCCCGCAGTAGTCGAACTTCGACTATAATTAATTGAAATCATAATTTTGAACATAATTATGGTTCTATTGTCAAAGACTATTTATTATATTTCTATAGTGACAGATTTCGCCAAGAAAGATAAACAATAACTTATATACTTACTTATATACTACAATAATTAACTTATTCTCAATTTGACTACAGACTTTAAGCTATAACAAAAGTTTATTGTCATAAACAAAGACTATCTGTGTGTCTGTGTGTGTGTGTGTGTGTGTGTGTGTGTGTGCGTGCGTGCGTGTGCGTGCGTGCGCGTGTGTGTGTGTGTGTGTGTGTGTCAAATACATGGCAGTGTGTGTAATGTTTTATTATTGATTTAATGTATTTTTACGGCTTAATTTAAAAAAATATTAGCATTCTGCACTTCTCTATATTCTCTATAAGTGTGGGAAATTTCATACTCCTGTGACCGCGCAATTTTCGTAAAAAGGGATACCTACAAAGTTTTTGCTTCACGTATTAATATATGATGTATCATGAAGACTTTGCTACCGCTTTTCAAAACTACATATTTGTAAGTTTTACAACGCATGAAATGTATGAATACGATTTTACAAAATCAATATATATATATATATTTATTTATTTATTCATTTATTATTATGACGATTTCTTTTTATCGGATCTTCCTTTTTTTTCGTTCAAAATGGAGAGGTCGCTTCGTGTAAACCGTGAAATAAATTCGTTTCAAAGTTTTGAAATGAAATGTATTATTCTAGTTAGGCAGTAAATTTTAAGTATCTGGTGTCGGTGAGCTAACCCACTGTTAAGGTTAAGCGTCCTTTCCTCATCCCTTCAATTTAGGTCGCCACCTGTTACTCTCCCACACCTCTAAACAAATTTCGGAATTTACGGCTTCAATATAGTCGTAGATTTTTTATAACTATCTTATTAAAGCAAAACCCGCGTACCTTGTTTCCAACGAATCGTAGCATTTTTCGTTCACGTTAAGTAAAAACAGCGTATACAATAAAACGATCTATGAATATATTATGCTTATATGAATATATATTATATTATGCTTTTATAAGGTTTCTTCATATAACTTTTTCTATTAAAATGGCGTTAACGCTGTTGTCGCAAGAGCGAATACACCCCAAAAACGACAGTGAGCAATTCTCCACTTACCTGTAGCAAATACAAATGTTACAAACAAAAAAACACGCAAGTCCAAAAACTGTCGACATAATTGTAATTTTTTATGAAAGCAACATTCCAAATTAATTTACTAGCACGTTGAAAATTAGGAATTCATTACAGATGATGTTATATATTATGTAATTTGATAAAACAGGAAATAATACTATAATTATACCAAATCCTTAATTTGTTTGAATTAAACAATTTAATCCACATTCAATATACTACAGAGGACATAATCAGCCTCGATCCAATTGAGATGCTGGCCATCGCTCCGTGGTCCATCAAAATACCAAGGACACTCCAGCCGAGCCTCGACTTTTTGGGTGAGTACTATGTAATTTTAAAAACTGACCATGGTTATTTTTAAGTGATAAAAGTTTACAGTTTATTAATAGTTTTGCATGTTCTATTCTTTTCGCATTATAATATTATATTATTAACAATCATATTAAATTAATATGTTAAATACAGTACAGAAAACAGTGATGCCCAATAATGGAATCTTTACCGCCCGCTGAGCTGGTCTCCGGATCTTCTCAGCGGGTCGCGATTCCGATTCGGTAGTAGATGCATTCGCGAAGCAGCTACTCTTGAGTTGTTAGGTCTCCTTTGCAGGCGCTCGTGTAGCTGTTAGCAAATCCCACCCTTCCTGGCTGAAACTGGAAAAGCCTCCAGGCCACCAGTAATCTCTCAAATATAAAAAAAGGAATCTTTAGGACTGATAGATGTTAAAGAGCCACTATTCTACATTTCTGCAATCATTAATGTATCTTATCTGGGTGAATATTCAGTTTGTGCGATACACATTAATCGGATCGAGATTGGTGGCAATCTATGCAGTATCATGCACATAGTTTGACAGAAACCTGCATAAATACATGAAAACACCGCACCGCATCAACTACTGATAATTGAGGAACAACGGCTTACTTAGCATCGACAGTTTCCTGAAATTTTGGCCGGTTGAAGTTGGATTTCCAAATCATACAAAAAGTACTAAAAGCTTCACTTATAACAAACCCTCTAAAAAGTTTGCTTAATGTCAAAAATACTGCCGCCCGTTACTTTGTTTAGCGACTCTCTGATGTTTTTTAACGACTGTCTAAATTTGCGCTACAGTTGCGTGGTTTTCTCTGAACACAAACTGATAAAGCATTGAGATCGAGAGAATTGTATCCTTCATAATTCTGAGTATGATGAACTATTGAAATAATTAGGCTCGAAAAAAATAGAGTGGTAGCACGATGAGCGAAACGAACATTTCATCACTAATTTCTTCTGTGAGCGTCTCTTACCCGTGCAGCCGAAAAATATGTTTTAAAACTGCCGCAGCCTCTTAAATTTACAAAAACGGTCCTCTTATTTAAGAGTACCACCTCATTGGTGGTAGGACCGCTTGTGAATCCGCACGGATAGGTACCCGCCTATTTCGGCCGTGAAGCAGTAATGCGTTTCGGTCTGAAGGGTGGGGTAGCCGTTGTAACTAAGCTGAGACCTTAGAACTTTTATCTCAAGGTGGGTTACGTTGTAGATATCTATGGACTCCATTAACCACTTAACACCAGGTGGGCCGTGGGCTCGTCCACCCATCAAAGAAATAAAAATGAAAAAAGATGAAAATGTCTAAAGAGACCATTTTTAGAAAATCACGATACATCGAGAGGAAAATTAATATCTGTGAGAAACATGGGCTCTCTCCCTCTCTTTTACTTCTGTGCTCGCCTTTTTGTGTAAACTACGTGAACGGGTAAAAAATTCCGTTAGAAATACTTTCTGTTACAATCAGGAGACGCCCCATTGTACGCTGCAAGAAAATTTTCGACCCATACTGAACGAATGAAACGAGAACTTTGAAAATTGCATTTTACTCTTCGTCTACTGAGAATAATGTTATATTTACGGCTCTCGTTAAATTATCAAAACACTTTGTCTTAAAGTAATTTTAAAAGTTAAACTACTATTTAAGCTAAGGTTTGAAAATATCGTATATTCAAATGAGAATGACCGTTACGTGTAAACCATAATTATTGTATGTAAATATGTATGTGTTACAATATTTATAGTCAACACATGTTTGTATTTTTACTTAGTTCAAATAGTGCTTCGTTATTTTTCATTACGTGACCGTAGCTCGCGTATATTATTCTTTAAATGTATATGTTGATACAGCTCCCGAAGTGCAAATCTCCGGGCAGTGCAACATTTTATCAGACATGTTCTCCCTTGGTTTGGTGATCTGTGCAGTTTTCAACAACGGGGTACCCCTTATTCAAGCTAACAACAATCCTATGCTGTATTTGAAACAGATTGAGCATGTGAGTATTAAATATTTATTTTATCACAAATGTTTTTTCTTTGCTGCGTATTTTTTTACGAATTTAGGTAAACATTTCTCGTACTTTTTATCATTGTAAATATGCAAAAGAATCTGGTATTAACCGGTTACAGGAACCTGTAGACATCATAGCCTGAATGCGTGATGCGTTCATATGTTGGGTTTTAGTCTATAATCTATGGTTACGTGACCCGCAGCCTAATAGACTGGATGATAATATTAGATGGTAAGTATCCAATGTATTAGACATTGGATACCACTTTTTTTACAAATACGAAATATTTATAGATTAAAAAAAAGTAAAAAAAAATTTTTTTATCCATGTTGGCACTACTTGAATATCACATACACATAGCGATTGGTGTTATTTTTGTTTTTGTTTTTATTGACTATTATAGACAAAAGCGGTTTAATTAAAAATAATATTTTATGAAGATGAGACCAGAGCAGCCTACAATATTATTAATTTTAAGTGACAGAAATGCCTACAATATTATTAATTTTTAGTGACAGAAATGAATTTTGCAACTCCAAACGGAATAAATAGTAAGTGCACAAAAATTGTAACGAAACCAAACCAAAACCGGATGACTTATGAATTGCAGCCAAATATATCTATACATATAAATAAAATTGGAGTGTCTGTTTGTAATATTGAAATTGCCTCTTTTTACTACATGCATATGAATATATATACGGTACATACACCAAAATAATTTTTTTTACAATTTTTGTCTGTCTGTCTGTCTGTTTGTTCCGGCTAATCTCTGGAACGGCTGGACCGATTTTGACGGGACTTTGATGATATAAGGAGTAACTTAGGCTACTTTTTTTAGACTAGCTTCGCCCCGCGGCTTCACCCGCGGTACGAAAATAACCGCGGGTAACATCGCGGGACTCAGCTATCGATAATAAAATTTAAAGTTTCCGCAGCGAAGCGAGGACGGGTCGCTAGTCCTAAATAAAAGTTTGAATACTAAAGTACATTACTAAGATAGTTTTAAGGAAATGTAACAGGATTTTATATTTAAGATTTATTAGTTTTAAGTTTAATTCAAGGCTGTTACACAATCGACTTGAGCAGTTACGGAAGCCCGTAACTATCATCAACTAGAGCTGACACCAAAGTTGCAATTAAATACCACTTACCCTTTTATGCTGCTGTTAAATTGCAGTATGGTTTTTTCTAATAATCGGAAGCGATTAATGACTGCTTTTCTTTTTAGTTGGAATATCAAGTCAATGCCTTGCTCCCTCGAATTCCGGCACAGCTGCAGGAAGCCGTTCAGAGACTCCTGTCAGTGGATCCTCACCCGCGCCCCAGCACGCAACTGCTACCATTGATAAAGTACTTCAAGTATGTTTTTTATAACTAAAATGGGCCACCGGCTTCGAAATTGTAATATTAATTGTAGTTTTTAAGCTTTGCAGAAATCGTGAATTAAAATTCGTGAAGCACAACAACCATTGCCGGTTTTATTCGAAGTAAACCGAAACAAATTAGTTTAAGACTTTATTTATACGAAATTAATAAGTTACGTTCGTCCGTTGCGTTTTAAAGTACCTAATGATATGTTCATCATTATGCCGATGGCCGATCTTAGACTCTTTGTTGTGTATTGAATTATTTGCATACGTTAGCTTAGTGTAAATATTATAAAAGAATTTAAATATGCTTGGTAATTACGCTATCTAAAACGATACTGGTGGATATACATTTGATTTAAAAAAATATTCATATAGGGGCCAGTGTGAACCACCCATCCGCGCCATGCAGCTTCTGGACAACATGACCGAGAAGGACCCTGCAGTCAAAACTGCTTTCTATCGGACTCAATTAATGGAAGCCCTACCTTATATTCCGAAGGTCCGTTTTTTTATGCCGAATATGTTAAAATTACTGCAGCCATTCTCAAAACGAAAATTTGAATTGAAAATTATTTCACTCTGCGACAAACTGTATTCTTTTGTTGATTTTTACTTGAAATCAGTTCAAAAACATCATAATACTCCTCAAAAAAATTTGTTTCAAAAATTCGCTGTCCTATTAATATAAGATGAAAGTGGCACCAACATTATGATCTGGGCACATTTATCGTATTACAAAATCTTTTTTCTGGGATTGCTGAAAAAATACTCTTACACGTTACCTTTAGTTTTTTTTTTAATAAAAAAATCTTACGGAAACTAAAGAACCCATAGCAATGCATTTCCAAATCATGTATCTTAATGAGAATCATTTTAACCTGCGACTGAAGTTCGATTTAATCGTGAAGCTGTTCATTCTATCAAACTTCTATGTTACCTACCAAGCAGTATTGCTAAAATATAAACTATGAATATTAATTTAAAGATATTAAATGGGACCAACTTAAAGAACGAGCTGTCAAATAAAAAATCATCAAAATTAAATTAAATTGAAAACCTCTCCTCCTTTTTAAGGCTTTTGAACAAATAACTATCTTTAATTTTCTTTATAGCAATAACGAAGCCCGTCATCAGCTTCTAAAAAAAAAAGAAAGAAAATCTTATGAAATGTTTATGGAGAAAAGGATAATGTCTTACCCCATTTATTAGATTCATGAGGTCGAGGCTCGAAGATGAAGTGGGTTCTAGCTCATATTTCCGGTGTCAAGAATTACAATATACTGTAAAAAATGTAGTATGCATAATAAAACAGGGAGACAATTCATTTTTATTTGATACTAGAGGCTCGCTCCGGCTCCGCTCGGGTCTTTAACAAAAATTTCAACGATATTAGAGGCTTTTTTTATTTTTTAAAATAAAAGAACACTTATTGCGGCATAACTATAATAGTTAGACATATGCTGTCGCGACACTTTTTGTAAATAATAATGTGTTCTACAAAGTCGTAGTACATTACTTTGTTCTATCATCAATATTTTTCGCAGGGCACGCGATGTAAAGAATATTTTAGGTAATTTTTTTACACCTTGGATTACATTATTGGAATTTTAGTAAGGATCCTTAAGTTTTTTCGAAAAAGATTATAGCCTATGTCACTCGGTAATAGTGTAGCTTCCAAACAGTGAAATATTTGTTCAAAGCAGTTCAGTAGTTTCGGAGTCTATTCAATACAAACAAACAAACAAATATCTCCTCTTTATAATATTAGTATAGACAAAAAAATATTATAGGAAAATTAAGTTGAATATTTTTTCAGAAACTGCGATGGCAGCTTGTGTGGCCCTCACTGCAGGCCGAGACTCGTACCACGGAAATACTGGCATCTGTTCTGCACCCGATCTTTTGGTTGACAAATGACGCTACACAGGACGAATTTAATAGATATGTTCTGCCCACACTGAGGTGAGAAATAAGAGAAAACCGAAGATCTGCTGTTTAAGGCTCTAGATGGCATTTAAGTCTCTTTAATACTTAATAATACGTAAACAATGCAATATTCCAGTACTGATAGTGTTCATGTATTCTGCTTGCGTGTTTGTGCATGGATTTGTCTCACGTACTTATAAACAATCTGTTTAGAAGAGTAGTTATGTTATACAACCTAGTGCGATATTTTCTACAATTGTGCATTTTTTTAATGTTAGACGAATTAACCGTTTAGTATTAAACACATAAACAGAAGCATCGAAAAATAGAATACTACATTTGAAAAATAAAACAATTCACGACACGTCAATTTTCACATTCCCACAAAGAGGCATGGTAATTTTCTTTCCGAAAAGCTGTTCAATAAAAATGGACGGCTTATTATTATATTACTGTTTAGTGATATTAAGAATCAAAGAAGCACAACAAAAATATATTTTTACACACATATTTCCTATTTAACGGACAACGTTTTACCTGAAAACGTTTCAGAGAGAAAGCATTTTTTTCTTTTACACGTGTTTATATTTCATAAGTCCAAAAGGCCTTGCCTCTTGCAGAATTACATGATTCTAGGTGAACGGGAAGTGCCTTAAAGGTATTTATGAGTGACGAAATATGACATCCTTTTTTTTGACCTTTTTTTTTATTGCTTAGATCGGTGGACGAGCTCACAGCCCACCTGGTGTTAAGTGGTTACTGGAGCCCATAGACATCCACAACGTAAATGCGCCATCCACCTTGAGATACAAGTTTTAAGGTCTCAAGTATAATTACAACAGCTGCCCCACCCTTCAAACCGAAACGCATTACTGCTTCACGGCAGAAATAGGCAGGGTGGTGGTACCCACTCGCGCGGACTCACAAGAGGTCCTACCACCAGTAAAAGTGACCTTAGTATTTAGTAGGTAATAATTTTTCAAGTTGATATACATAATATGTATTTAGCCGTAAAGACGTCGACTACAACATAAGACGTCAAGGACAGACAGACCCGCGGATAACAAACTGATTATATATGAGACCCGATTTTTTCTTAACTCATCGTCATCTGTGAAATCGGTGGCAGTAGTCGAAACCAAACCTACTAATCGCACAAAAGTTAGACCACCTGTTAATAAATGGTCTTCAGACGACTTACTATCAGCGAAGGACTCTTTTAGAAGTCATTAAATATAAATCATTTTACTATAGAATTTATTTGTAATTACTTTTTTTTTTTTATCTTAAATAATCTTACTATAAATTAACTTGCAGGGCACTACTGACATCGTCCAAAAGCATTCATGCAACAGCTATATACTTGGAGAATTTGCATATTATTTTAAGGAAATGCCAAACTAAAGATTCCGAGAATGAAGTGTTGCCAATATTGTATATGAGCCTCGACAGCAAGATCCAACAAATACAGGTTTGTTAATAACTTTATTCATAAAAATAAAATTTTATATACCTCCGATACTATTCATGTATTGACCAACAACGACTTTAGTCCTATGCGGCCATCTTTGTCGATAATACATACTTAATGATTACAAACGCTAACATCATTGAACGGTTACATAGATTTTACTGGCGGTAGGACGTCTTGTGAGTCCGCGCGGATAGGTACCACCACCCTGCCTATTTCTGCCGTAAAACAGTAATGCGTTTCGGTTTGAAGGGTGGGGCAGCCGTTGTAACTATACTGAGACCCTTAGAATTTATATCTCAAGGCGGATGGCTTATTTACGTAGATGTCTATGGGCTCCGGTAACCACTTAACACCAGGAGGGCTGAGAGCTCGTCCACCCATATAAGCAATAAAAAAAATATAGAAATAGATAATATTTCATTTACTATTAAAGGTTCTATTGTCGTGTTTTCGTTTCAGTTGGCATCACTGACTGCTGCACAGAACGTTACTGAATTTATTGATGAGAGAACTCTGTGCGTGACCATTCTTCCTAAAGTCAGGATCATATTCGAAAATAATCAGACAGACCACAAAGTGGTCTTTTTGGTATTAGCGTATTTCGAGAGGCTCTTACCTAGACTCGAACGCACCCATCTTCTTGAGCACATCATACCGACACTGCTCACCTTGAAACTCGGCGATCCGGAAATCATTCATCGGGTTGTCAGTAAGTAGTCGTGCGTTGTCCCCGGTGGTTTCGAAAGGGCATATCCACGTTTTAATTCCATTACAAAATGCCATCGGAACTTCTGAATGCATGCAAGGCCCGGCGAAGCTCGCGAATTCGTGTAATAATCGCGCACACGCGAATGTTGAATCTTTTGCGAGGCCACAATCCGTTATTTTATTGCGTTTTAAAATCATTGACAATTCACCTTATTCATTTTACAGAGCTCTATAGAATCATGCTCGCAGAAAAGAAGTTTGCACTGACTGCTAACGTTATGGCCCTGAAGATGATACCAACATTAGCTCCACAGATGGTCAACACGGCTTTAACTGTTGATCAGTTTGCGAACCTTATTGAGGTATTTATGATCTAATTATATAGTTTAAATATTAATTGACCAAATAAACACTTAAGAAACTATTATAAATAAAAACTTTTTAGCTTCTTCACGAAATAGTCGATGCTATCGATAAATCTCAACGGTTCAAGTTGAGGACGGAGGCTGCGAACCCGGCGACGGATCGCTATCGTTCATTACGTCATCAAATGAGTACCGACAACGTGACGGCGCCGCCATTTAACATACCCAATCTGCGTGTGGAACAGCGCAAGACATCAAGCGCTGAAGACATGGCCCGCAAGAACTCAGCATCCGGGCCGTCTACTAGCAATCAAACCGGGAGCATCAGCGGTCTTAAGAGTAAGATTAAACTTTTCTATTACCTACAATCTAATTCATACTGTTATAAATAAAAGAAATGTACAATTTGTGCATTCAATGTGTTTCTCTGGTGGTCTGGTGGAAGAAAACTCACTTTCAAATTAAGCTCTCGTTTTATTAATATTAAATTATTTGTCTTTTTTATTTGTGAACAATTTATTTATTTGATTTATTTTATTTGTTTCTCTCTTAAAGGTATAGTACAAATACAAATGGAAATTAACCTTATAATTAATTTTGTAAGCCTTTGAAAGAGCTGAAGTCTGTACTAGGTTCAAAGACCTGTATTACTGATCTCCAGGCTTCCTCCTTCTTAAGATAGATTAGGTTTTTTTTTTTATTGCCTTGGTAGGCAGACGAGCATACGGCCCACCTGATGGTGAGTGGTTACCGTCGCCCATGGACTTCAGCAATGCCAAGGGCAGAGCCAAGCCGCTGCCTACCGCTCCTAGGTTGGTTGGGTTAAGTCGTGAACAGATGCTGCGGACTAGTGTTGAGAGATCATTAGGTGTTATCATTTAAGATTGTAATTATAAGGAAGTATTAGGTAATAAGTGTGTGTGTGTGTGTGTGTGTGTGTGTTTAATTTATGTTGAAACTATTTTAAGTTATTAAGTAATTTATTGAACTATAGGGCTCGGACAATGGATTTTCGGATCGAACACTTCGAACAGTAACAATGAGAATAGTAACTTCCTTCGGGTGGCGAATGCTTTCCCCAATCGTCGTTTATCCGACAACACTTTGATGACGCCAAAAATCCGCATCGCCCCATCTTGTGCTTCGTCTCCTGGTGGCACTCCGGGAGGCACGGCGGGGCTCCCTACACGCCGCCACTCGAGCATAGGGCCCCAGGAACGTCGTGGATCTACCGTCAATCTATCTCCGCCTACAGTAAGTCAAATGCGTCTACTATTATATACCTGTAATAAAACTAACTATATTATACACTAGCTGACCCGGCAGACTTCGTAGTGCCTCAATCGATAAATAAAAGACCGACGGGGGACACATCAAAGGAAAAACAAAATTGTTATTTTTATTTAATTTCGAGCATTTTCATATTTTTCTACCTTTTAAACCTTCTCTGGACTTCCACAAATAATTCAAGACCAAAATAGTCAAATCGGTTCAGCCGTTCTCGAGTTTTAGCGAGACTAACGAACAGCAATTCATTTTTATATATAGAGATTAAAGATAGTTATTTATCAAAAAAATCGATATAACTATGAGATGTTTGCTCGTAATCTCCATTTGAACTCCATTAGAAGGTATTTTGAAAAAATGGATCTTTTCATACATATGTGTATAGAATCTTATATATAGTTACTGTTTTACTAGTCTATACTAATATATAAATCTACAGCGGTTTTTACCGATGTTCCGTTATAACTACTGAACCATGCATCCGATTGACTTGAAACATGGATGTTGAAAATACATGTACTTAATGGATAGGCTAATATTTATATGAGTGTTGAACTCTCTACACTAGTTGCGGGGGCGTTAATGATGAGAATCTTTATGGGGTTGAGGAATAATAATGTTAATTTTAAATGTCCAGCGAAGCGGACGGGTACAACTAGTAGGTTAATAAAAGCAGTAAGCTTGCGCCTCCGCTCATAGGAGTTGTTTTCACAGGCCCACCAGTACAGGGGCCGCGGCGGCTCAGGCTCGAGCCTGTCCGTGCCATCAACTTCGCATTGTGCTGTAAGTGAAGTTCACCCAGCAGATCTGCCAGGCTGCGTGCTCCCGCAAATCCCTATGTTCAGTGCTCATCTATAACCGGCTTAATATAATGTCATCTGTTCTCTTATTCGGTTGTCTTTTTCCCAAGCCGACCGGGAAAGATATTGCACCATTTCCATCATCATTATATGTACATACGTCTGTCTATATTGCACGAACCTGGTCGTAACTACACTATGAATTTTCTGTACCCGCATATTCCATCGCATTCTGTAATCAAAGCTATCTCTTACGTCACTGTGTAACGAAGTATGCGTGGCAAGCAACAGACTTTCGTAATACAATGAACCGATGCATGTTCGTTGCCTGCTGTGTTTATTTGTAAACGAAGTTACGACCGCGTCGAGTTGAACGCATCTGCATAACGCTGAGGGCTCCCTCCGTTCGTCTACGGTTGGCGCGAACACCTCTACGATTTACAGACGCATTGGTTTTTTGTTTTGTTCCCGAACAAAACTACAGTTTTTTTTTTCAAAATTTAACCAACGATGAGACAGGTCGACTTTCCAGACCATAATTGGCCAATAGTTTCAACGAAGACTTAAAGAATAGGTACGAAGTAAATAACAATGAAAATCAGCTCGACAGGATTGATGTTTAGGTAAATATAATTTGATGTATATGTGTGTGCTTGAGTACTGTCAGTAGATTTCATTCGTTTAATACCTTGTAGAGGGCTCTGTTATAATTCTAATACTGTCGCTGTCATTTACTGTTGTACTGTTTTTCTTCTAAACAGATTGCATGGAGCATGGCCGTAAGTATTTCTTTTCAAAAACTATCACTTCAGTTAGATAACTTCTTTTATAACTAAAACATTAAATAATAAAAAAGGCTTTATGTTGCTTTTATGGGAAAATTGCTATAGAAGTCGCTTAGTATAAATTATAGCATGCCTGCCATTTACGACTATATGATCCGTGTGACCGTGTGCTTGATAATAAATAGATTAGTTTAAAAAAAAAAATACCGCGCATAGAAAATATATGTGCTTAGACTAAGTAATTAGGTATTCTTTTAGTACTCCAAAAAATCTTGTTATTGCAGTTAATACATGTGATCAAAACATGGTCGAAGATTTCAACATAGTTAGTGTAGTATGTTATACAACAGCACCGGCTATTTTCTTTTATAATGATGTGTTTTATCGTATGTAGTCGACAGTAAGCATGCAGCAAATCTAATTTAAATTTAAAACTTGATAGCTCTCAATTTTATTTTGCTTTTTGTCTCAATTTTAGATTTATTTTGTAAAAAAAATCAACACTTACATAAACCTTTTACTAAATTGGTTTATATACGATGATTTAGGTTGTCATGTTTTTTGTGAAAACGAATTACGGGGTAATCGTTTTTATTTTAAAACAAGAAAACAAAATCATATCACTACTACTACAAAATGAACTTATTGTAATACATTACATTACTCATTACGGCAGATTTTTCTATTAAAAGAGAATATAAATAATATAACCAGTTCAAAGATTACTGAATTTCTAATAAATTCTTACATAATTGATAACTATCAGCTCATGATAGAAAAATGAGTCCGAAAATACCATGATTTACATATGTAATCGCAAACATTTCATTAATAAGGTTATCTAAAATTGTATTATTAATCGTGTATTATAGGGCGGATCGGTACCAAACACATCATCAAGTGTGCCGTTTCTCTTGGCTTCGTCGATGAATTCAATCAAGTCGCGTCGTCAATCGGGCGCTGCAGCTGGACCTCAAGGCTCCCCCCAAAGCTCCCGAGGCTCTCAAGGCATTTTACAACAGATTAGCAGTGGCATGGTAAGGCACCTGCACCTTGGCACTCCTATCACTACGCCCCCGCGCGTTGTCCGCACAATGAACTGGGCACAAACTGTCCAGAACGCCAAGATTGCAAGCTTGAACGCTATACAAGCCACCGTCAAAAAATGCAACACACTCACTGTCCCGCTCCCGCGTTAAGAGCTCTCAGAGCATCAGGAGAGACGTTGGGCTGAGGGACGCGTACGTGGAAAATGAAAATCTCCTAGACCCTGTTTACCTTACCTTCCAATTTATTATATATCCAACCTTAATTGAATATGCACTATCCGTTGATGTTAGCGATGATTTGACGTTGTAATTGATCTTAATCATAGTATATTAGAAACTGTTTTATTGTCATGTGGTAGTTATTGTAATGATACATTCAGTCAAAAAAGTATCGGGAATGAATGATTTGTTTTTGGTTCCGAACGATTTTTTTGTATTGGACTTTATGAAAAAAACGTGCTTAAATAAAAGCGGTCAAGATGTTTTAGAAGGTTTTCCTCGCTCTGGGAGGCCATCGACGTCTGCAACTGAAGTTAACATTGCAAATGTGAAAGAAAAAGTTACTTAAATTCAAATTTAAGAGGGATAGCCGCCGAACTTTCTGTGTCGATTTGTCGCTCACTAGTCGATTTCTATCATTTTAAATAATCACTTTTATATGAAATATTTTGCCGTTCGGCTAGTCCTAAATGACCTGAAGTTTCGTTAAAAACTCAGTCGCATAAGAGTCCCTGAGGTCATGCTACAACGAATCAATTCCGAAACTATATCAAGAAACGAAATATTAGTAATGGCGATACGTGGGCTTATGAGTTTGACATGCAAACTAATTAACAAGTTTCAGAGCTTTCCAACTGAACTGGAACCGGCAAAATCACGCCAAAGACGATCAAAAGTTAAAGTTATCTTGACTTTTTTTTATCATCGCGGTGTTGCGGTCTCCCACGTTATTTTGGATTCCCCGATCTCCTATCGACTCCCCAAGAACCGGACACAGTTCCCGGCAAACCCGTCGAATGCGACGAAGTGTTCTTCGTGCAACTTAGCCTACAGACACAGCCTACTGAGTTTCTAGCCAGATTTTCTCAGTGGTTCGTGATTCCGAGTTGGTGGTAGATTCAGTGAACCACAGTTATTGCTAGGGCAGATGTCTTCCAGGCTGATCTCTGGAATCCCGTTCGTCTACACATTCAGTGAAGCTAGCATGACCCCTCCAGGCTACAAGCAAAAGATAGACAAAAAATTGCTCAGTCGGAATTATTGCCGAAAGGTTTAACATTAAATAAAGAACATCATTTGAGCGTTATGCGGCGTTTAAGAAAGACTCAACAAAAAATGCCAAATTTGTGAAAATAAACTGCTGGATTTTGCATTACGATAATGCGCCTTCGCTTAAAGACATCTTTGTGAACGAATTTTTGAACAAAAACTCAACAAATATCATTGAAAAACCACCTTATTCACCAGAAATAGCTCCCACCGGCTTCTTTCTTTTGTCTATACGCAAATTATCACTTTGTGACACCCGTTTTTTGATTCGGTAGAAGACATAAAGCAGAATTGGCTTCGAAAACTGAACTCAATTCCGAAAAAGCGTTCAAAATGTTTTGATCCCTGGATTATTGGTCGGCATAAGTGTAGCGTTTCTGAAAGAGTATACTTTGAAGGTAATAAAATAAATTTGGATGAATAAATAACATTTTGTGTATTGTTGATCTTTTCCCGGTACTTTCTTGACAGAATACTATATCCTTCTTCGAAGTCCTTTTGTGTTTCCTGTCTTGGGCAGTATTGTATTTTTTCTAAGTCTCTTAATACTTAGTAATCGCTTAGTAATATTAGGAACAGATTACTTTAATAATAAACTGTTTACATTTGCTAAGGGTAATCGATACTTTGTGAGAAGCGGAGAAGCTTTAATCGGTATAATGTGGACATATCATGTAATTACCGTGAACTATGGTAATATGTCCAGTTGGATGAATGTTACAAACATGTTGTATACAGCAAATCTTTATGTATACAGGTGCTGTGATATGGTATTGTTAAATTTGTAAGAGACTAATATAAAAAATATATTTTTGTTGTTGAATTTACTAGTTATGATATATAATATTATTATATACCAATACGTTTCAGAATCGTTGCCCATAGAATGGGATGTTTACGTGCCAAAATTTAGGCGCATACTTTTGCAATTTAATTTTTATTTAAATGAATATCTTTTTTTAATTAAATGCATATCAATAATTGCTAACTAAAAAATTACTACGTATTTTTTGCTTGTGTAGTTCCTAATGCATCATTCAAAATAATAGGTAGTTGATGTAATGCATAGCTTATTTCATTTTGGTTTATTTTCATCGTTAAAACCTGGCATTCATTCAAAAGTATCCAAAGCTCCTAATAACATAAATTCAAGACTCATTTTAAATTTCTCGAACAGATTAAGAAATCATATAATAAGAGTTTTCCTTAATTTTGTAAACAATATAAAAAAATGACATCAAACACTATGTGATACTCGTAGTACAAACTCTACTTCGCCTACGAGCTATCATGATAGTACTTAAGTTGTTGAATTACAGTTAAGTTTGAAGCGGGCGGGGATAGCGCCATAAGTTCCGTGTCCACCCAACCGCGACCTCCGTACTCGCACAAACTTTAATTTTAATCAGCTTTATTATGGTTGCTTCCAGTCACACCTGTTAACCGGACATACATAAAGAAAAATTTGATTGAGATTAGAGTCGCGTAATATAAAACGAGAGCTCTCCGGCGAAACTGGATACGAACGCGGCGCGTCATCCGAGCCCCCGCTCGCGCTCCATACATACACTTAATCATTCAAATAAAACGGCTTCAAATATGTTACACTACTCAAGTACATTTTTTTCTAAATTATATATTATGACGGCCTAACATTAAATATCAATGTAATTCCACCAAACCTCATAGCTTAAACTTGACGCGGTGGTTAAGAATTTTTCAATCGCGTTTATTACTAAAGCGTTATCTTCGAATCAAAGCACAAAATCCGTGGCAAGTAAATATTTAAATAATGCTAATAATGTATTATGATTCTTAAACTACATGCTTTTATTCGTCATGCTTATTTTCATTTTAGCTTTCAAACAAACTCTATCCAATACCTAACAGGTTCCGTGAATTAAATGCATTTCATTGGTGACTATTGCGATTTTGTTTTATATGTAACAAACATAAAACAGAGTAAAAACAGTATATTTTGTTAAAAGAGAATGAAAGTTAAAAGTTATTTTATTCTTCTATTCAATTTTAATTAAAGTTAAAAAAAATCAAAATGTTAATTGAAATACTCTTTTTCTTAGGGACTTTAACTCGATTGGAATCTGTAAGAAAAGAATAGCGATAGAAGTTAGAGAAATGGCATAATATGCGTATTATACCGATACTTGTTTGAATTGGTATACCTGGTTGAATTGGGGCATCCGTTTTTATTAAACTCTCATCGTTGATAAACAATTATGAACAAATCTCAATTATAAACAAATCAACCTATTCTACCTAATAAATGACATAAAAAATATGTACAACATTTTAATGTCACTAGATGATTAAAAACATGAAAAGAAAAAACAGATTATACATATATTTTTATGAATATTTTCACATACATCCAGCTGAGAGCTTGTATTTTAACATTCAAGAAAATAATTAGTATATTTTTATAATTGTGACATAGTAGACTTGGTCCGGTTCAAAATCGCAATTCAATATCATTTTGTCGACTCCGGTCAGATGAAAGTGAGAAATAGCATATAAGAAACATTAGCTTGAGCAAAACATATATTTTAATATTAAAAATAACTTAATTATACTCCTATATTCCGTACTATATTTAGATAAGGAAAAGAAAAATGGAAGCCGTAATTTGTAAAACATGCGGGTAGGTCAGCAAATCAAATGCAAACAGTTTAGGATATAGACTAAGTAGATAAATTATTTTGTCTTTGATAAATCTTGACAAAAATATTTTCTGATGAAATTTGCCGCTTTAAATATTTCCTATTGTTCTATATTAAACATATTATAATGATTGTTAGTAATTAAGAATTTTATCGTAGAACGTAGTATAATCGTGTTTGCTTCACATTAAAAAATATCTGTTGATCGATGGAAGTGGAATAATAATTAGGAGGAAATACCCTATTTTTGATAGTAAGCAACTTACATAAACTTTTCCGAGACGATTTACCTACAATTAATGATTATTAATGGACCTGCTTTAAGATCGACCACGTAATATTGTCAGAAAAAAAGATGCAGTTTTTGATCCAAATTAAAAACTATTTTTTTATTCCTTAAGGGTTGTGGTGTTTGCTCAGCACTTAAAGTATGTGATACATCTGGATGTGCCCTAATAAAAGTATTGAATAAAATCACATCGTCCTTGAAATTAATCGATGTGACTATTTAATCTATTTAAAGAATAGTTCCTTATTATTCCAAAAGATGAAACTTCTATTTATAGTTAAAAAAATATATTGTCAAATTCCTATATCTTATACCTAGTCACTTTAAACGTATATACCTATACTTCCAACATTATGTTTCAGTTCAGAAGTTCAAAACTTATTTACATAATTTTAGTAATATTCGATTGGTTCTTTCTGTTTTTCACGCAATCGAACAAGGTTTTTAAATTTCAAATCTCATTTATATTTTATTATTATTATCGGTTTCTATATTATCAACTAAAACTTCTTTTGACTAATGTTGTAAAAGCTGTGTTAATTGAAACTTATAGTATTTAGTAAACATAGAAAAAGTTCTTCGTCATATTCGATGTTATCAGTATTTAATTATAGTGAAAAAAATATTCACAATACATATGTACTTATATAAATCCTTTAAAAAAATTAAATATTATTTTCATAGAAATATTACTGTTCTATAAAAAATGTTAGAAACCTCAATTATTGAAATCAATACATGTAGAAGTTTTAAAAGAATCTTTAATGTAAACCGTAGAAAATGAATTTAACATTTTAAATAATATTTACTGTATCAATGTACTTTGCTCTGATAAATTACATAAATGTTACTTTTTGTCGTTATATATGTATACGTGGCTAATGTAGAGGAAATAAAAATTAATAAAAATCCAATCGTGTTTTTTCTTCAATTCACCTCCAACACATCTCCTTTACTAGTGAAGAAAATTTAAATTGATGAAACTTGCCCTCGGGGTATAATTTTAGTCATCACGAAATAAGATTAAAACATTATTCGGTCGTTCTCGATGAAAGAAAGTAAATAATTCATGTGCGACTGGAGTATTAGCATTGCATTATTACTATTTGTAATTAATCGCATCGTTAAAACATATTCCACAGTACATAAATGTAGTGTAGTGAAGTGTGAAAAAATTAAGAAGAAAATAATACTTAAACATATATTTCATTGAACCCTGTAGTCGGCCTTGTGTTTCTAAATCTATTTGTTAATGTAAATCTGTTGTAATGCTTTTTTATGATTGAGGGTTTACTGGTGGCCCGGAGGCCTTTCCAGTTTCACAAGGACAAGTGGGCGGGCAAGGGCTCAGCCAGAAGGGGCGGGATTTGCTAACAGCTCGAGCGCCTCCAAGAGAGACCTAACTACTACCGGATTGAAATCGCGACTCGCTTGGAAGATTAAATTTAAGTTTGAGTTTCCCCTTTGAAATAGCACCGCAGTGCTTTTCGCTGGGTTGATGTCTATGCGCCATTTTTGGAACCACTGTTCTAAGGTTACGGCTGTGCTCTGGAGTTGCCTCGCGATTAGGGACTTGTTTCTACTTGAATAGTAAACAGTCGTGTCGTCGGCGAATAAAGCTAACTGGGTCGACGGCGACCGGGGAATATCGTTGACGAATAAGCTAAATAGGAGTTGCGGGACTCCAGCTGTGAGAGGTCGCGGGGAGAAGCGGGTTCCCTCGACTCGATATCGAAAAGAGCGGTTCGACAAGAAGTCCCGTATGATGAGCACGAGACTATCCGGCACGCCTATGTTGAATNAAACAGTCGTGTCGTCGGCGAATAAAGCTAACTGGGTCGACGGCGACCGGGGAATATCGTTGACGAATAAGCTAAATAGGAGTTGCGGGACTCCAGCTGTGAGAGGTCGCGGGGAGAAGCGGGTTCCCTCGACTCGATATCGAAAAGAGCGGTTCGACAAGAAGTCCCGTATGATGAGCACGAGACTATCCGGCACGCCTATGTTGAATAGTTTGAAGATCAAACCGTTGTGCCAGACTTTGTCGAACGCTTTTGCGACGTCGAAGAAGAGAGCTCCCATGTATAACGGTTTTGGTCGATTAAGCCGCACAAGAATGTGCTCCGTGAGGCGGTGCATCTGTTGAACGCATGAGTGATTTGTACGGAATCCGAATTGTTCATCGATGAGAATGCCCTTGGATGAGACGAAGTCTCTGAGGCGTTTGTAGAGCAGACGCTCATACAGTTTGCTTAGAGACATGAGGAGGCTAATCGGGTGGTAGCTCGTCGGATAATTGTTTGGTTTACCGGGTTTACGGCATTCGAATACGATTATCCTCGGTAGGATAGCTATCGTAGACGCGGATCGAGGCGTTCTTAGCTCTAAGGAGTTCCCTAATATCGTCGGACAATTTGAAGCGGTGACAGAAGTCCTCCGCTACAACTTGCTTCGATGACCCATCTAATGTCGAGGTGATGCGTGACGTTAAGATGTCTATGGCTTCAGCGGTATCCTGAGGAGACGGGGTAGAGTCCGGGCTAAACGGGAGCGATGGTGGATTAGATTCAGCCAGGCTGATGCCCAGCGTGTGCCAATCCACCACAGTCCTCGTGACGGGAACGGAATCGGGTGCGCGACCGAGCTTCATAACGACGGGACGGTGGTCTGAATCTAATTCTGAAACTACTTCGATCGAGTGTAAGCGCAGAGTTAGGTTTTTTTAATAACGCTATGTCGAGTATATCCGGGCGATGCGCTATATTTAGCGAGTAGTGAGTCGGGGTTAGCGGAGCGACGATATCGAAGGCGAGATCATCGACTAACGCTTCAAGCCGCCTGCCATTCGGGGTTGTGGCGTGTAAGTTCCACCTGACGTGTTTACAATTTAGGTCGCCCGCCAGAATGACAGAGCTCCCCATGCCGAGCAGCGCCTCGATATCACTGCTTAGGACGATCTTATTCAGTGGAAGATAAACGGACGCGATAACGATCGACGCGTGTCCCGTCAGTGAGATTTGGCACACTAATGCTTCGATGTTAGCGAGTGCGGGAGGGTCGAGCGGGACGCAATGCAGGGCTCTTCTATAGTAAATGACAGTACCACCACCACCAGCAGTGAGCCTGTCGTTCCTGACCATATTATAGTTCGCGATTTTGGGGTCACGGCGCGCGGGTTTAAGTAGGGTCTCCTTCACTAAAAAGATATCAATTTGATGGTCACGCAAAAAGTCAGAAACCTGATCACGTTGATTTGCGAGACCGTAAGCGTTAAAAAATCCTATCATTACGGATAGGGGCTTTATTCTACTTATATACGCCATTGATTACCGGCGGAGTGAGGAGAGGACGTACGTATTTAACGACGCGTATACGTCGGCGTGTTCGTGCACAACGGCGATGAAGTACTGTGCAGTGGAGGCAGCGCGGATGGCGTCACCCAAAGCGTTAACGCGCTCAAAGTTGATCGACTGAAAGAAGTTGATCGCTAAAGCGAGATTGCCAGACGCGGTCGGAGGGCAAGTCGCAGGGGAGGGACGTATCGCGAGAGTGGGACTAGTCGCGGGGGAGAGAGTTGTAGCCGTGTTCGTGTACGGCAACGGTTTAGCCCAGGCCGAGACACTGGGCACCGGCGCCGGTTAGAAAGCAGGCTTAGCCTTCGGTACAGAGGGTGCCGTGGCTTTGATGTCTGGGCCGGAAGCTCGGAGACGATTTTGGCGGGCGACGCGGCGATTTATTTTAGGGGCTCGGGGGCAACCACGGTAATTCGCGGGGTAACCCTGTGTACGGCACAGGACGCAGCTAGGCGGTTCCGTCGCGGTTTTTTGATCGCGAGTGCATAGGGCCGTGGCGTGATCGCCCAAACACAACACATCGGGGGCGTGCATGACCGTTACAGTTGTAATGCTATCAGCTTAGTAAAACTATATAAATAAATTTGTTGTCCCTTGTTGTTGTGCTGTTACCAAAACCCACAAGAAACGCTACGGCATGAATGCCATGGGGCATATTAAGACATCAGGGCGAAGTTTCAAGAGCATTGGAACGACGCCCATCCTAGCCTTCAGACTAGAACATGTTATTGCTTCTTAACAGAAACATAAATGTCAACGATACTGTGGTGAGAATCTACTCATCCAACCAAAAGTACTCAAGATTGAAATACGGCAGAGAAAGAGAAAGTGAAGTAGCCATGACAGCAGTAGGTAGGTATGTGTATTAATGCAGATGAATGAAATAGCAAGTCGAACTAATAGCAAACAAGTGGTAGGAGAAGTTTCCTTTTAGTCCATTTAAGTAGACTTTAAATTAATACACAAGTCTGCCTATCACAGGAGTTTTAAATCTAGCAGACGTTCATGATTGGTCAGTCACGAAACACGCGCAGTATGGAGCTGCTAATGTGACCAGTATCAGGATTTTAAAGGAAATACTGGAAACTTTTAATAAAAACCAATGAAATAAAAAAGATTTAAACAACGGCATAGAGCAACATAGAAACATAACTCGATACCGGTGCACCGAATGACTTACCCTTTATATCACGACATCTTAGACATTATTTCAAGAATTACGCGAAGAATAGTTGTCACTGTTAATTTACATAAATACAAAGCTCTGTGAATGGCAATTTTTTCAATAGGTTTGGTCTGATTTGTTGCTTCCGTCTTCAAAAGGTTTGATTCAATAACATGAGTTAATACAATTTTTCGGTTCAATATTATCAATAGACAAAATATAGCAATCCATATATACATATACTAAATAACCCCAACCAAAATAAATAGAATACCATGATGATGAATCATAAAATAATCATTGTATGTTAATATATGAAATTCGTCCATTACCGTTGGTATCACAACCGACGAGTCAGAAAGTTCAAACGCTTTAGTATCAAGCGGATGTTGGAAAGGGATTATACACTTTTTTGTAAAAAGTTGCACCATTGCATTCGTATTTTTCGTACTATTCTTGAAGGAGTGGCGGCGTATCGTGAAGCTACTCACCAACGCATGAAGTGATGATCACGATCACTCTGACTAGCAAAGAAGAATCTTAAAAACATTTGGTATATAAAATATCAAGCAATTTTTCTCGTGATTTCGACTTTGTTGTGGTAAATTTACCTACCTCGTTTAAACATAATGTTAACATAATATCTAGACAGATATGATTGTAATCATCTAAGATTATGTAAAATGTATTTCAAAGTGTTAAGAGACTAAAGTATATATAAAATTACAATTTTTTTCATAGAAAAAATTTAAATTTCGTCTCACTGAAAAAATTCGCTTATTAAACCTGCTGCTTAGCCACATAATCATTTCTGCCATTTCTAAAAATCAATGCGTAGGATATTGATTATCCAAAACAATACGAACATTGTCCAACAACCAGAGCCTATTAGTTATATAATGTTTGGTGTATTTTGATAGAGCTATTTATTAAAATGGAATAAATCTTAATGGATCATAAACACTCACCATTTCTGCCATTTCGTTCCAGAAATTCTATTGTAAATCGGATGTCTGGTCGTGGTCGCTTTTATTTATAATACCGCCCATGGTACTATTATTATACTATTGTTTTTTTTATGTTACTGTAACAAAGTATATAGCCTATGTTGTCTTATAGTTCAATGATTGATTTTTATTCAGTGAGAACCTAGCCATGGAGATATTAGGTATTAGATATTATATAAGCATTAGCAGACCGTTATGACTGTCGGTACTTGAACCATTTTACCACGGTTCACTTGCGGACTAAATAATAATAATTATAATAATGGTTGGTTCGAAGTATCAGTTAAATGGAATATTTTAAATGTATTCAACTGATAATTATTTTTAATAAATGTATCTTTTTATTTGATTGGTTTTGGTAATTTTAAATATGTTTCAATGATATTATTTACACATAGACTTGTTGTCTAAAATAAAATAAAATAAATAAATTACTACCTAAAACGTCCGAGGGAGACCTGAATGTATATAAAGTATGTATATAGAGTAGTAGTGATAGTAGAATATATATATATGAGATAAAATTTATAAGGGAAAAAATTAAGTAGACTGTAAAATAATAGACTCAAATTATAAAACCATTTTTATTAACAAAGTATAAATTATAAAAAAATATTAAATAATTGTTGAATACAGTATAACTCAAAGGCTATTTAATTTTAAAATGCGAGTAGTGAACCTATGTATACGCAATACCAGTGGTCCGGGAGCCAGGTACAATTTCGGTCAATTACTTCTTCTCGAGCGAAACTTCGTAAAATGCATTAGGGACCTGTACTATGAATACTCGCGACCGTCAGCTACGACTCCGTGGGTAGGACGGGTAGTGGCAGCCTCCTACGCATGGAAAGAAAAAATGATTTTTCAGTCATTTCCTCCCACTTGAAAATTTGTCAGATTATAGTTAACCTAGTATTTTGAAAGAAAAAAAAAGTCAGCTGATCGTAATATGGTGGATTATACGTCAGCTGACTGCTGAAACATGAAAAAAAAATTTATATTTTCAATGATTTCCTCTCAACTAAAAATTTTCCTGGTGATCGTTTATATACTACTATGAATGAAAATTAATGTTAGCTTACTGTATCTCAGTGGAAAGTTTGTCAGCTGGTACCTTGAAAGGTGTAACGCAGCAGCATCTATCACCTACTGAATCTTATCAGCTGACGACTTTTCCCTTGACTTACAGCTAGCTGATTTCTTTCATTATTTACTAGAGTATGTTAACAATCCTCTTATAATTTTTTGTCCGGGAGGAAATAACGTTTCTTAAGTTATTTTTTCTTTATATATTACAGTTACATTGTGGATTAAAACTAAATTCTCCAGATGCGATGTTATAGCAAAAGGTACACTCGGAGGGGATGTTTTACCCATAACTACGTAAGCGGTACGTAAGTTGGCAAGATTTTGGCGTAGTGGGGATAAGGTCGCGCATAGTACAAATTGCAACAAAAAAATGGTCACTTTTATTGCCCGTATATGATTTAATTTAATTTTTTATTTGCAATAATTTATTTTTAAGCATGTGTGTTTAAAAGAAAGTTAAAGAAAAGAGAAGAATTCGTGAAGTGTATTAGGTGTTATAAATAAAATACAATTAAAAGTTAAGAACTTTATTTCAAAAAATATACTTGTTATTAAAAATTATGTGTCGCCGTCGTCACTATCGTTTTCTAATAGTGCTACCCCTTGCATTAAATTTATGGTAGCACCTGAGCTGGTGGAAGGAGTTGGCACCTCATCCTCGACATAACTCTCGTCGCTGGAAGAGTCGCTGTCGTCACTGGCGTAAATAATAAAACGCTCAGTGATTGAATAGACTATATGGTCATTGGTATTTGGTCCTGCCATTGCAAACAAATTTAAAACAACAACACTCTTAACAAAAACTAAATTTAAAACAATAATAACAATTCGTAACAAAACTCAATATAAACAAAGGGTACCTACAACTTTAGTAGACGCAAGTGTAATCAGGACGGAAAACGGAACGTAGACGCGGTGCGGGAGGGGAGGGTCGACAGACGCACCAATCGCGCGCTCGGAACGTCTTTCCCCGCGTCCCGCTTGACAACCAAAGAGACCTAAAAAACGACTTGTGCGCATCGAACGACTCTTGCCAAGTTACGTGCCGGGGACTAATTATACAAGGGCCATTGTTGTGTATAGCGCATGTAGAAAATTTTCGGTCGAAAAAAAGTAGGTGGGGAATATAATGCGACTCGAAGAGAAAGTGAAACGTGTTTAGTCGAAAAGAGTGTTAGTATAGTAACAGTTCAGTATAAAATAAACATGTCTAACGTTATACATTTTTGCGTCTTTTGCAGAAAAACCAATGCTCAGTTAAAATTATTTAGCGAAGATAATTTAAATAAGTGCAGATATGTATTTGCAATATGAAATGCTAATAATTTAACTGGTCACGATACTCGTACCAACATTTCCTCCATTATCAAACTTTCATATTTGTTATCAAAACAGTCAAATCAAACATACTGACGAATAACTCAAGAAATGTTATTTCCTCCCGGACGAAAATTTATACGAGGAGTGTTATCATACTCTAGTAAATAATGAAAGAAATCAGCTAGCTGTAAGTCAAGGGTAAAGTCGTCAGCTGATAAGATTCAGTAGGTGATAGATGCTGCTGCGTTACACCTTTCAAGGTACCAGCTGACAAACTTTCTACTGAGATACAGCAAACTGACATTAATTTTCATTCATAGTAGTATATAAACGATCACCAGGTAAATTTTTAGTTGAGAGGAAATCATTGAGAATTTTTTTTTTCATGTTTAAGCAGCCAGCTGACTTTGTTTTTCCTTCAAAATACTAGGGTAACTATAATCTGACAAAGTTTCAAATGGGAGGAAATGACTGAAAAAACTCTTTTTTTTCTCCATGCGTCGGAGGATGCATCTGCCCGCCCCACCCGCGGAGTCGAAGCTGACGGTCGCGAGTATTCATAGTATAAGTCCCTAATGCATTTCACGAATTTTCGATTGGGAGGGACTTGGTCATGAAAATCAATCACTGGCTCCTGGACCATATGACTATAGCGAAATGTATGGAAAACAACAATTTACAAGAACAAACATTGATTACCATATCTTATATGTTGATGGTACTATTAGAAACGGCTACGATAAGAGAATTATCGTGTCGCGCCGCTTTGTCGAAGTAGCGTTCTGATACCAACTTTAGATCCTTACATATCGGCTCTAAATTTAGATCGTCATGAAGGTCGATATTCCTCGCGTACCACGGTGCTCCGACGGCTATCCTGCAGAAACGGAATTGGTTGAAAACCTAGAGGATTTATATGCATCTGGGCCGCTTGCGCTAACACTACGGTTGCATAAGTCATTACGGGACGTGTGTAAGTTTTGTAGTGTCACCTTGTTCCGTTTTACTTCGCTTGCAGATTATGGGGTAGAGTTGACCGAGTAGGAGGAACACGGTTTCGTCGCATACTGACTTAATGTGAAAACCAAATGTCATCCCTCTGACAAGGGCCACGCTTAGGTATTTAGGCCTTGAAAGCCCACGGTATGGGCTAGCCTAGCATTTTGATGCGGGAATGTAGTTATTGCGCCTAAGCTAAAAGCGTGATAATCGCTATGAAAAAATATTTTTAAATCAATCAACAACAATCTAATACTCGCATACTTTCTATACAATGACGTAAGTAAATGAAAACAAAGTTTTCATTAGCAAAAGAGTTAATTTTTAAATGTCAAAATAATAGGGATGGGAAGTAACAAGAATTTAATAAAACAACTAGTGCTTATTTATTAATTTATTACTCCCAAAATTCTACATGAAGTTTATAATAATAAAATGATTTACTACAATATGGATTGGTATACTTTAAATGAAAATTATTTAAAATGTTTCTATTATTCGTCCCGAATCTAGTAACTAACTCAGATGTACCCAAATATTTTAAACATAAATAACTGATTTAAACAACTAATACAATCGAAACTGAGGAAAACTAATCAAACAAGTAAATAGTTAAATTGAAACGTACTTTTAACATCTTGCCTTCACAAATGACTTATTAAATATAGAATCGATTAAAATGCTTATTTCTACATACTTATTCCAACAGTACTCCTTTCCTAGTTGTTATAAACAATCTCTTGATAGTGATGCTACATTCCTGCTCTTCGTTACAAACAAAGCCATCAATAAATAACTCCACATAAAAATCTTAGTTTCCCGTTCCTGGTTTTCAAAATCGATAACGATTCGATTCATCATCAAACACTGTCACGCATTTAATTCAGTAGATTTATATAATTCATCCAAGAGTTTCAACTTGCATATGAACATTACTAAGATTTGTATTCAGAGCTAAAAAAGTCACTCTATTTTCTAAGAGAATTACGGTTATACAATGATTACTACATAGATATGCAACATGTCACCTTCTACTTCATTAAAATTACGAGATAGACATCAATGAATAAATTCGTGAATAATACATATTACGTACATACGAATATTTTACTTTTATTCAAAATGACAAAATCAAATTTTAATATGACAACAGTTAAGATGTTATCTAAATATGAAAAGTCTAAAAAACCGTCTATTACGTTCAACACAATGAATAGATAATGTAGTAGAACATACTTGTATACCAAGAGAATAATTTTCCATCAACTACCTTCCGTCCTCATTCTTATAATCTATAATTTACCGAGGAATTGGTAGTGTTCCCAAAGATAGCTATTTACGTGATTCGCGACCTATTTCGTTCAAAAGATGTTTTGTTATTCACTCCCCAAAAATTATTGATCAGATATTTCGAAACATAAAACTATTTTAACAAATGATATTATTACTCTTGTATGTTATTAAAATATGTTATAGCCGAATACAGTATGAAGTTAAACATTACAAATCCCATATAATGAAACACCAAGTATATAATTATTTAAATACGATATTATGAATAGGAGCTTAGTATGTCTACAAACATTACTTATTTTGTAAGAAAACGCGCTATTCTCTACACGACAAAAGCGAATTTATAATAATACCAATACGTAACGATCGCCGAAAACGAAGACGCCAGGAATCCCTGATGCTATGCGGTCTTAATGATCTCTGGACAGCACGTATTGCAATAGAAATTATAAATATAGTAATGATCATTCCACAGCTTTGAAGCGGAGTGACAGTCGCCAAATGTTTTCGCTTCAGAATGTCGATTATACATGAATTTCATATCACATCTTTAGCAAACTTTTCACTTTATCTTGAGATATACATCGGTTCGATTTTGGATCTATTGGCTTATAGGTAAACTATTTCCGTTGTGAGTAAATGAAGATTGTTTTATAGTAAAACGCAGAATGATATTTACAATATGTTCGATTGCTAATGGCTGAAAACTTATGCGCTATGTTTAGTGTTTGTTTAAAATGTAAAAGCCAATCGAATGAATAGAATGCCGAAAAATACACCAACTGTTATATGATTATACATAATTCTATATCATTTTTATTCATACTATTTCATTACTACCATCTAAACATGAAAAGCTTGACACATTAATATAATTAATAATAATATAACTAATGTAACACTACATATTAGATGTCAAATGAAATTAATTACCTATTATCAATCAAAATGCCTGACTTCATCATGATTTAGTATTTTAAAACACGAAAACTTTTAATTTTATATGATCGTAATATATTGCTATACGTGATATAAGCAAATGCAGTAATTTTTAAATATATTTTGTAAGCGCGAAAAACAAGGATGTGCGAATAGTATCCGAATAATTCAGTATATTCTATTGTTACTTGAAGTAAATATTTTTAATGAAGAAAAAAACTGACATTATAACCTTGACAAAATACCGTCAGGAAGAAATGGACTACTTTATTTTAATTCAGGGTTAGAAATCGTTAAACGACCTACAAATGACATAAATCTACATCGAAATGCAAATTTCAAAATATAGTAGTAACCTTGCACGTCTAAACTTGCAGAGATATTTGACGAAGCCTTTAAGACTTCAAAAAAATTATGCATAGTTTTCATTTCATTCATAAATTAATCAATAGATTTTAGTTAAAAAGTTTGTATATAAATAATATTTAACATTTACTTATTATTTTATTACTTTAATAATTAAAAATTAAAAATGTATTTAAAAAAAAAAAACATTTTTATAAATTGTTTAAAACTCGTTTACATTTCAACATTGCTTGTATTTATATGAAAAACATGTAATACATCATAATGGGAAAACTCATTATTTAAAAAAATACCGAATAAATTCGCACCTCCCTATCGAAAGGCTATTTATTCGAAGCTAAATATGTAAAACGAATTTTCCGAATCGAACGCGGGTGAATCGATTTTTTCCTTCATTAATTTATAATATTCCATTACATGATGACTTAGCATTTATCCATTGATGAATTACTTACTATATGAATAATATTTAACAACCAAATGATTCTATAAGCTATTCCCCAAAACTTCACTAAGACGCTCCGATGCGCCCATTATGGCGCCTTTAAATTAATGCGTTTACAAACGCTTCAACTACACGAAAATACCGTTAAGACCAAAAGCCTTGGAATACCGCATAGGACTTATACGAAAATCTATAAACTAAAAACATTCTTTATTTTAGCTCCGAAGGGAAAATCTATTTTTATATTATTATAGATTTTTATGAATATGTATGTACCAAGCCGAATCTAGAGTCACGGATTTATGAAATATTTTAAAACAGAACGATTTTGTTACAACCAAAGTTGTTTATTCATTACAAGATTACAATACAACTATTCTCCAAATAATTGCTTTTATTTCTAATTTACTCAATTTTCATTTCACTACACAAGAATGAATAGACAATATTCCTACGTGATCACAACATCTTTGCAGAGATTGTGTTTTGATTATTAATAATATAGTTTTCAAAATAGCATGCGAATTACATTGAATTTGAGTGTTACATGTATCAAATCCGACGCCCACACACTTACCTGATACGACCTATTAAATCTACAATCCATTGAATATAACATATTTGAAAGCTTTGAAAAAAATATGACCGACACGATAATAATGCAAGTACTTTTTTATTGTTACTACAATATTGCAAAGACATTTATACAAAAAGGTTACATTTATAATAATATTAATAATATGTACATATTGATTACTTCAGAGTAAGACTACGAAACGCTTGAAGTTACAGAGATAGTTTAAAGTGACATAAAAATTTTAATTTCTAATGAGCCACATACATATATTCGGACTACGTTAGGTCCAAGTAAACAGTATATATTTCCATAGATTAAAATGCTGAATGTTGATAGTGTCGTGATTTTGCTGTTGAATGACGATTTAGTTGATTTTATATGATCGCTGTTAGAATGCGCATTTGATAAATGCCCCAACTGGGTCATTCCAACTAGCTGGGGGGACGAATTGTCGAATGATTCATTTAATCCGACAATTCGCTCTCCTCGGATCATTCATCCTTGCTGTCTTCGCTCGACTCTGGTGGCTGGCGGCTGTCGGAGCGGCTATAATTATAAACAAACATTATAAATAGCTACCCCCTCACTTATACGAATCCTTGGATGACTTCACAATACTTGTTCCATTATTCTATAGTTTAATATCTTTTTTTTTTATGATTGAAAGATTACTGGTGGCCCGAAAGCCTTTCCAGTTTCACCAGGACAGGTGGGAGAGCAAAGGCTCAGCCAGGAGGGGTGGGATTTGTTAACAGCTGCCCGATTTGTTAACAGCTGCACCACCGAAAGAGACCTGACAACTCAAGAGCAGCTGCTTCGCGAATGAATCTACTACCGGATCGGAATGGCGACCCGCTGAGAAGATCCGGCGAGAAACTCAGCGGGCTGATGCATGGGTTAGGTTGCACGTCGACCTCTTTGTCGAGTTCGACGAGTACGGTTACCGAAGTCCCTAAGCCTGCTCCTAGTGTTAGAGCTGAAGGCTTCAGGACAAAATCATAAAGTACTACCTTGCCTTTCCGAGTTAATAATACGCTTCATCATAAATAATACTGTGTTGTCAAAACATCACTCACATGACGTCACAAAGCCCCACTCAGGGTTACCACCTCATTGAACGACGTAGTAAACTTATTAATTAATGTTGCTATTATTATTACCCTGCGTTCAGGAATCTTGCTGCCGAAACGTAACGCGCTGGATCGTAGTCCTCGGAATCAGAAGCGCGGTTGCGGGCGATGTTGCGCATGTGCTCGCGGAACGCTGTACGTATTGTGGCGCTATCTGCAGAGTTCGAATTGTCGGAGGCTTCACGAAGACTATCTGTAATCACAACAAAACTTACTGCCTACAAGAATCCGATGTAATTTATCCAGATTAAACTGGTTAAGTAGAGTTGTGGATTTTGAGCTAAATGTGGTTTAAAATAAACCTTAGTGACCCTATTATGTATGTTAATTTCGAAGTACACTCAGTACAATTGTTTTATAAAGAGATGATGATTTTAAAGCAGGGCTAGTTGTAAAATTAATTATTATTATTATATATCTTTATTTCAGTAAAGAGACCATACATTTTGTTAGTAATTATTGCTTATAATCTATGTTAGTAACTTAAAAACCTAACACATAATTATTTGACTATTTATTACAATTTCTTTCCCAAGTGCCTGCTGCAAAGGCTTATTAATTAGCCGTCCCTCGATCTTGCTCGATATGATGTTCAATATGAAAAATTACAAATCATCTCTTTAAATCGTCAAATCGATAGTATCACAAATGATATTAATCTTACATCATTTTTCGTTGGTCAACATGGAATGTGTGTGTGTGTGTGTGTGTGTGTGTGTGTGAATGTTTTTTTTTTTTAATAAGGCGGATATTTTACTGGTGATAGGACCTTTTGTGAGTCTGCACGGGTAGGTACCACCACCCTGCCTATTTCAGCCGTGAAGCAGTAATGCGTTTCGGTTTGAAGGGTGGGGCAGCCGTTGTAACTATACTGAGACCTTAGAACTTATATCTCAAGGTGGGTGGCGCATTTATGTTGTAGATGTCTATGGGCTCCAGTGACCACTTAACACCAGGTGGTGAGTGAGCTCGACCAACCAATTAAGTAATAAGAAAAAAAAACATCGCCGCTGAGATAATCATTTAGTGTTAACAAATCGTGCAACTCGCAACACGTCCTGCGACTCCCCAATATAGGAATTAGGAAGACTAAAAGATGCCCGACAGACTACATAATGTAAGATCCTTTGGAGCCCGTTACGGTAATACATGCGGTCACGGTTGTTTATGACAACTAGTAATGCTAAAAAAAGTCTACAAACCACTCATGAAATTATCAAGATTTGCCGATGGTCTAGATTGACGGACGCAGCGGCGCTTCCTAGACGGCATGCCGGTCAGGTACGCGTCGCTGAACGGCTCTTGTGGCTGCGGCCGTTGAGTCTGCGCCTGCTGATCACGAGTGAACACCGGCACCCATTCTTCGCCCCAATGTTGCATTAGAACAACTGGTGACACCTAAGAATACATTGACATTATTTAATAACTCAAAACTGTGTTTTTTATGATATAACAACCACTTCCGTGTCTATTCAATGCGTGGAAGAATCATTCTAACGTCTATGTATGGGTTTCAGTAGCTTCTGAAATCTAGCTCAGCTGATCACGTAACTCATTTATTTTTAATACGCTTTTATTAGCTTCAGACGTATGTATGTATGTTTGTAACGGAATCTTTCAACATGATTTTGACCCCCTTCAAAACGTCGGATTAACTCGAAATTTGGTATACTTATTAAGGACCGATGACAATACAATATTTAAAAAAAAATTAAATTCAACTAAAAAATGAAATATAAATATGTAGTAGTTTAAAAAAAGTAACAAAATACGCTTTTATAGAAAATCCAACTAAAAAATAGAAAATAAATTTAATTTTTTTAATTAATTTGAAGTAAAAATAGTATAACAAAAATGATTTTATCGTAAAAAAACGCGTGGGGTGCATGGTATCAGTAGTTATAAATATTTTATAAACAGATTTGAGTAGAAGGGTTATTTTGATAATATCCCCACGCTTTTTTACAATAAAATCATTTTTCTTACACTATTTTTAATTCAAAATTATTAAAATTTTTAAAATTAATTTTCTATTTTTTAGTTGGATTTTCTATAAAAGCGTATTTTGTTTGTTTTTTTAAACTACTATTTATTTTTTAAGTATTGACGTACTATTTTTTATACTTTATAAAATGTATCTATGTTACTTGATTTTCAACAGATTTCAGTTATTTTATTTAATTCAATTAATTCTCATTACTCAACTCACCTCGAAAATTATTGAGCGAAACGATAAAGACGAGCGTCCGTCAGTTTTGTTTAAACGTTTAGATGAAACTGTCCGAAACGTTTTACATTAAAATTTATTCAACAATACGATTGCGTAAAAATTTTCCATGAGTGTACCGCGTGAAACGTGTTTGTTTGTTTCGATTTATTCGTATTTGTTCGTACGCTTTAATACAAAAATTTTGAATTAACGTTTTCAAATTAGAGGTATGATGAGAGCACAAGAAATGTTGCTCATAGTGCCCTATTGAATTTTTAATCGTGAATGACTTTAAACAGAGAAAACGAGGCATACGATCATTAATTGCTCACGTTATTTTCATAGAAAGCAATCTTATACTCTTATATCGACTGTTGGGAGCGGAGCGTGTTATAAGTCAGCTTGTTATGATACTACAAAGTTCGAATGACGAACCGCATGCTTGCCGACTGAAGACCAGCAGTGGCAATTACATTTGGTTAACCGACAGCGCTGATAACGCCCGAATATCATACGATACTTCGATCAGTCGGCCTATAGTCTGTATATATAAAAATGAATTGCTGTTCGTTAGTCTCGCTAAAACTCGAGAACGGCTGAACCGATTTGGCTAATTTTGGTCTTGAATTGTTTGTGGAGGTCCAGAGAAGGTTTAAAAGGTTAGATAAATATAAAAATGTTCGGAATTAAATAAAAATAACAATTTGGTTTTCCTTTGATGTGTCCCCCGTCGGACGGATTCCTTTTGTTTGTTTTAAGTTTATTTTATACGTTATCGATTGAGGCACTACGAAGTCTGCCGGGTCAGCTAGTTACTAATAATTTAAAATTCTTATGTAAATATAATGAAAAGAAGAAAAAAAACTACTAATCTTTTCGGTTAGACTATTTTAATACGGACCGCTCATTTCTAACATTGTAGTAGTCGATTGATAACTTTCTGCTCAACAACAAAAAATATACGTCATGGCTATTTAAACTATAGATGGGGTTCCGAAATGCGTTCGATGTTATATATATTTTTATATCTATATATTAATGTTTGTTTTAGGAGTAAAATAATACACTGTATTTGTTTTTAACGTTGTTGTTCCAGTTGTATTTGGGAACAATTTAAAACTCGGATAGATTACTTTTGTTAATTTCATATACAGGGTGTTTTTATAGTTTCTGAAACTAAAACTAAAGAGAATGGACACGATAAAACTAATAATAGGAGTTGTGATTGAAAAATAAATTTTTGGTAGATCGATCTCACCACCACCGCGTATGAATGACGCCGTACTTTTTCTGCTTAACTCAACAGGCAATTTATTTTTGGGTCAGGTTAAAAGTTAATTTTCGTTTCAATTTCAATTTTACATTATTAGTCTACTTATTACTTACAAACTGCAAATCAGGGGAGACGTTGCCGTTGCGACTAGCGCCCACGGGGCTGCGACCGTTAGCTTCATTCTGTGGTGGCACTGTGCTACTATTAGACACCTGATCTGGTCGAGGTTGCCATGCTTCCCCGTGACTTGAAGTTCTGAGCATTGAGCAAATATACATTTTTTACTATTCACATTTTATTGTTAAAAATTCGTTTGATTGTGATTATACTAACCGAGGTAGAGATTCGCTTCGATTTGCCATTGAAGCCCTCGCAATGGCCGCTGCAAACAGATTCATAGACGGGCGTTCAGAGGAAGTCGAAGGACGAGCTTGTATTGGCGCATGAGCTGGTGACGCTACCGGGGACGCATTAGATGAAGGTAACGGTGATGACTTAGGCGAGGCAGCTGCAGATGGTGTCGTGGAGGTCGGCACCGACATTGTAGTCGATGGTGCTACGGACAAAGCCGCAGATGTGGGGGTCGGCGAACCCGGTGGTAACGGTACCGGTGAGCAGACTGGGGTAAAAACTGGTGAACCAGCCCATGGGTGGACACTCGAGACACCTGTAGACAGCACAGCTGAAGCCACTCTTGACGGTGTCTCTGTGACTATTCTTGAGTGTACAGGCGAAGCAGTCGTTGATGGTGCCGCTGAAGCAGTTGCTGAAGTTACTGTAGATGCTTCTTTTGACGCTGCTGCAGAATGAACAACTGAAGATTTTCGGGATTCGTCAGATAGCACTATAGATAAAGCAACCGACGGAGTTGGAGATGAAGAGCTTGTATGAGCTGGTGAAGCAACTGGGGAAGGCCCTTCAGAGCTAGCCGTTGAAGATGCTGTAGAGGCTGCCAATGATGCAACTACTGAGGCGGCGACGGATGCTGACGCTGATACCGCAAGTGAAGCCACAGATGATAGTGATGATGAATCATCAGATGACGAAGGGGACATTGGCCTCGGAGCTGTACCCATAGGAATTCTTTCCACGCACATACGTAATGGACAGCCACGCAAATGTTCACCTTCCATGTAAGGTGATGCTGTCGCAACCCCAATATGAGTCGGATGTAAGCCCGAGGAATGCGCCATCTCCATAGCCTGTGGCAATGGAGGCGGTGTCTGTAATATAGACATTATAATTACAAAACAATTTTACTTACTACAAAGTAAGATACAGTATTTGTCTCTAATGAGTAGTACATACGCTCAATCTGCTACCATCCCTGAATCTAAGATATGGGCGCACCATGTTAGACTGTGTCTGAGCATTTTCCATTATACCATTCAAATTATCGTTGCTGAGGGCGAGGATCATAGCCCGAGCTGCATCATCGAAATCTTCCATAATTTCACCCTATTAAAGATACAATATACATATGAACCAGGTTGTTTTGTTAGAATTTAAACTGAAAAAATCAAAAAAATAAATACACACCATGTAAATCCTGAACAAATCGCGCATGCCTTCTGCCCCCCGTTGGCAAAATTGAGTAAAAAGAGTGCACAGGTCGGTGAAAAGACGACAAAAAACGCGATAAAATCGGGGTGCAAATGATTCACCAGGAGCATCGGACATCACAGATGCAATTATAGCCGGCAGGCGAGATCGTACAAAGTTACGAAAAGACGTAGTTATATCAAACTCTTCCACGACAGGGGTTATGGTGCTCTGAAAAAAATATTAATAAAATAGTTTAGACATAGAAACAATGATTTTTTTCTTTTATTATCGACTAGTTGACCCGGCAGACTTTGCAGTGCCTCAATCGATTAATAAAAGACCTAAATTTTTGTATAAAATAAACTTAAAACAAACAAAAGAAATCCGTCCGACGGGGGACACATCAATTTTGTTTTTAATTGTTATTTTTATTTAATTCCAAGCATTTTCATATTTAGCTACCTTTTAAACCTTCTCTGGACTTCCACAAATAATTCAAGACCAAAATTAGCCAAATCGGTCCAGCCGTTCTCGAGTTTTAGCGAGACTAACGAACAGCAATTCATTTTTATATATCTATAGATAGATAGGTAGATTAGTTTGAGACTATTCGTTTGCAGGAAAGCTAGTTCACACAATTCTTCTGTTACTAGTAAAACGTAGTCGATAATCGTTTCCCCACTATTGTGAAATATTACATCTAGATTAACTCTTAATAATAATTACCATGTTCCTTATGAATTCCTCGTGTTGATCAACAAGGTAATCAGCGACAGCCTGAAAAGCGTTCTCTCCCTGACATCTGTCAGCCCTGTTCAATAAATCTTGAATATAGTGGCGCAAGTGTATGCGAACCGAATTGAACTCGTTGGGAACAAGAATCGGTTCCCCGTTCTGGGACTGCATTGGTTCCATTAAAAACAGGTGACGAGCCTGCAACAAAATAAAATTCGTTATTGATGTTCAGAATAAAATCGTGAAAATTATGTCTTCTATAGAAGAATTCCAAAGGATAACTAGGATTAGGTAGTTTACTAGCATTTTTAATGAAACATTTTATTAATCTGAAATATTACATTATTATATTATATATTTTGATATTGCCACACAACATAGGTACTTAAAACCATTTATCTTCTTGACACGCTCAGCCTTTCTTTGTAAGCGGCAGTGTAAAGTGCTATATTTTATACTTTCTTTTGTCATTAGATAATATTGAAAAGATAAATCCTACTTGACTAAGTACTAAATATATTCATTTTACAATTAGTATCAGTAAATACTTACAACTGTCACCATGAAAGCTGTAAGCCATATTTCCTGATTCTCCTCAGAGCTATTCAGGAACTGTATCAGCAAGTTCATGTGGTCCTGGATACAAAAAATATGTACACAAATGTTAGATGTACTTGAACAATTTTTCGTTTGAATATAAAATATTAAAATGAAAAGGTTTTTTTTGGTTTACTACAATTCCCTATAAAACCTTAGAAGCTCCAACTTGAACCGAGTCAATGTTATAAAGTGAAGTGTTAATATTGTTTTCATTTTACAGTAGCTGTCTGTTACGTAAATTAACACAGATGACAGCATTAGTGTTTCCACAGCAATATGTGGGACATTATATTTAATAAGTAATCATCATTTGTCTAAAAATTAAAAAGCATACATTTTCTCAATATCTTGGTAATTTTGTATGGTTGAGGCCTTCAGTGTAACATATCTATATAAAATATTAATACGTGAAGCAAAAACTTTGTATCCCTTTTTACGAAAGTTGCGCGGTCGGAGGAGTATGAAATTTCCCACACTTAATATAGAGAATATAGAGAAGTAATGCAGCATGTAAATATTTTTTTAAATTGAGACCGTTAGCGCAGAAGTGGCCGCAATTTTCATATTCGTGCTTATACTATACTGCAATTTATTTCAAACAAATAAATTTTGATGCAAAAATGGCCTACCCATAGTTTTACATATAGATAACAGATGGATTTTTAAATATTTTTGAGCGTATTGTTTTTGCCAAAGCAGTGTAAAAGTAAATTCAAACCTCATTATCTCCATGCGAACTATGGTAAGCTTTAAGCCACTTTTGCACTGACGGCCTCAATTAAGCATAAAAAATACATTACACACACTATCATGTATTTGACACACATGCATGCACACTATTTGTTTATTGTCAAACTTTTCTTGTTGCTTATAGTCTGTGGTCAAATTGAGAAGAGATTAAATATTGTTTGCCTTTATTAATATTTGTCTATAGTGTAGTCTTAGCGAAATCTGTGATTATATAAGTATAATAATCTTTGACAATAGAACCATAATAGTGTATAAACTTATAATGACAATTAATTATAGTCGAATTTCGACTACCGGGGTACCACTAGTATTTGTTAATCACCTGAGTTAGACTCGAATTGCGTGTGGTAATCGTTTCAAACCGTTGAGCCGCCGCCCTTCTAGCGCGTGCGCGTCCTACAGCCGCCAGTTGCTGCTGGAAGTATTCCCTGCAAATACAAAACTTACTTAATCATCGGTTTTGTGCCTTTATAGAAGGCGCCTTCCTCAGTGGTGAAACCACACGACTCGGTGAATCTATTACATGAATAATTTCAATAAAACTATATTAATCATTACATACTGGCGGTAGGACCTCTTGTGAGTCCTCACGGGTAGGTACCACCACCCTGCTTATTTCTGCTGTGAAACAGTAATGTGTTTCGGTTTGAAGAGTGGGGCAGCCGTTGTAACTATACTGAGATCTTAGAACTTATATCTCAAGGTGGGTGGCGCATTTACGCTGTAGGTGTCTATAGACTCCAGTAACCACTTAAAACCGGGTGGGCTGTAAGCTTGTCTACCCATCAAAGCAATAAAAAAAAAAATATTCATTTTTCAGAGGGTTTCATTTTGTATTAACCCGTCAAGCTATAATTAATTTTAATTCCCACTATCGCTCTTCTCTTCCGTAGAAGTAGGATGATGATGTTAGCTTACACAGATGCGTTCTAACTAGCAGAGAAATTACACAAAATACAATCGAATTCGCCGTTATTATTCATGATGGGAGGAAGATAAAATAAAGACATAATATTATAATAATATGTATATATATAACAAGCAATATAATAACAAAAATACCTGCGTCGTGTCAAACGAAGGCGGGCCCATGCGCTATCGCATTGCAAAAATCTGTCATATGTAAGATGATGCGACAGAGCGTGCGCACGGGCCGCCCCTGCGGCTCGACGCAACTGAATGTTCGCTGTAACAATATTATTTTAAGTTTAATATCGATTTAAATGTTAATAAAGGCATTAATTGTAATTAATTATATTATTTACTCTACACTTAATACTATTGGTATATAATACCGACAACAGTTATATTAAATAAAGGGAAAAATATATCGAGATACGAGCGATTGTAAAAATAACTAAATCTATAAAATCATTTATTGTACACCTTGCACTTTACAAAACACAATTGTACAGTAAATGTAGTTTTGTTGAGGCAGACCGAAGATTAAAATGTATGGTGATGCTAATGTAACTATGATTCTGGCGAAAATTCTAGGAGGGTCGGGAGACTCACGTTGTCGTATCAGATCTTGAGTACTCTGTGTTCTAACCCGCGCTTGTGTTCCAATTTGTGGCTGACTCTGACTCTGAGGCTGTCCTTGATTTTGAGTTGAATTTTGATTTTGTGGCGGACCTTGCGTAATGACAATAGGAGGAGTCACATGGACAGCCACTCGGTCTAAACCAGAGCCCAACTCCTGACGAAGCAGTGTACTGGCAATATTATGCAGCATATCGATGTTCGGTGGCCCTCCCCAGGGCATAGAAGGCGCCAAAAACACTGCAAATAAAAATTTAATTTACAACATTAACTTTATCATTAGACTTTATCAACTATCCAACACATACAAATAATGTAAATATTAGAATGATGTTACTTACGTATACGTATGAATGAATCTGGGTTAATATTAGCCAGTTACTTATTATACCTCAAAGAGCCCATACTAATTCAATTTGTATTTTTTTCCATAACATGTTATTTTTTTTCTAGTTATGTAAATGTGTGTTCAATGTTGGAAAAATCCGAACGATTTAGCTTTATTTCCATCATATGATGAAGTCTTATCACATTGCTTACTTATATGTAATTATAAATAAAATAGGATTTGAATGAGAAGCTTGACATTAGTATTTTTATTTATTTTATCCCTACTTATTTTCGATTAAATGATTTTTTGGGTCTTAAAATGTTTGTTGGTAATGGTCCAAATGAGGTTGTTATAGAAAAAATAAAATAGAACTGGACAGAACAATGTCAGCTAGTTTAACTAATTATGTGTAAATTTATCTTTAAATGAGTTTAGAATGTTTGTTATTTCAGCGAAAAATAAAAGTTAGTTAAGTTAGCAAGCAAATATTCCTATTAAAGGAAATAAGTAGATCGAAAGTAAAAGTGTACGTATATAACGTACATAAAGGTCGAAGTTGTGTTTTTTTTTTTCAATGTTTTATTAACATTATTTGTTGAAGTATTAAATGCCACCATCACAAATATTAGTAAATTCACTTATGAACTAAGCGACCATTGTGAAGTACACACATTAAAACACTTAATAACACCTTCATAAGCTATAATGATCATTAAAAATGAAATTAACAGTTATATTCTCTGTAATCTACTTACTTCACCGTTTCCGTGAAAGCATTAAACAAATTAAAACTTCCTGGAGCTATGCAGGATTAAATTAAAAAAATTACCTCCACCCTCAAACTGCGGAGCGCCAGGGCCGGCGTTGTTGCCTGATTGCATGAAATCCTCCATGCTCATAATGACCTCAACACCACCCATGCTTCCAACCTGGCTCAAGTTCCTCAGGAAATTCTCGAACTCTGATCCGATAGAAATATTTGTTAAACATGGCATTTAAAAAGAAATACTTTTTGGAATTCTAAAAGCCTACTTAAAAATAATTAAACCTTTTTAATTTAACAGTTGAACTTAGGTAGTTGTCATAAGGTGCATACCCGATAAAAATACGAATAATATTTGTTCTATGTAAACATTCTAATATAAGAGCGCAGCTGTTGTTTCGGTCGAAGAACAATAGATACGAGAAGGTTCTCTAAAACCGTAAACAAAAATATAGCTTTAAAGATATTCCTACCGGATAGGTCTTGGCGGCGATTACCACGATTTCCTTGATTTTGAGATGGTTCAGGCTGTGTGCGTTGACTCTGAGGGTGCGGAGTCTGTTCGGTCTGTTGCTGTTGCTGTGGTTGAGACGGTGGCGATGGCTGTGGCTGCGGCTGTTCTTGTTGTTGGCTGGTGGCAGCAGCAACGTTAGCCAATCCATTGAGCAGCGCATTGTCGATCGGAAACGCGATCGGTACTCTCGTCTCAATTTCGACTTCATAAGTGACCGGATTTGACTGATCATCGTCAATAGCGCTCGGCTGAGCAGTATTAACATCGGCTGCATTTACTTGCATGGAGGTAGTTGGTCCGCCTTGTATTTCGACTCCCAATTCAGTCCCAGCTTGGGCTGATGTTGCTTGATTCAGTTGAAGATGCTCAATTGGTGCTAGAACGGCGGTAAGAGCTCTAACTGTAGGTGCAGCTGAAGTCGCAACAGTAGCTGTAGCAGTTGCGCTTGTAACGGTTTCTGAAGCTGTCGCTCGAGGATTAGTTGTAGTGGTTGTGGTAGTACCACTTGTTGCAGTGGCGGTTGTGTTTCCGGCGCTGGGTCGGGATTGGGGCGGGCGCCGGTTAGTCTGCACTACGTTAATTTGTGCCTGCCCGAAATTTAGAAACGATTAAGTTTTATAATAAAGATCTATTGAATTAATTTTGTTTAAAACCATTACTGACAATAACAGAAGCAATATTTCAACTACTAAATTTACCTGCATTGGAAGCCCGTGGTGAGCTACAACTGGCTCAGATGTGAGCCGTGGAGGGTGGCGTCCGACTTGGAAATGAAGGTCACTAGCCACGTGATAGGCATGTGCGAAGCTGTGCATTAAGTCATTGACTAAATCGACAATACGCTGCGAGTGAGCCCTTTCCTGTCCGGTGTACTCCGGTGTCTGAAATACAATTTCTTATTAGTAACTAATATTAGTATTTTATTTTATATGAAAAGTATATTTATATACCTCCGGGTTATTAGCTTCCTTGAGCATTTCAATGTAGGATTCTCGATGAGGACTGAACTGGTCTTGAAGATTATCCAGTTCCTCGAGCAATTCGGCTAGATCTCTTGGCCGAGTGTGGCGGGTCCGGAACAATCTCATAGCCCTGTAAGATCTTAAAGTATACACGAATGTCAAAATAAACAAACATACATATGTATTTTTGGAAGGTTGCCCATGCGATGGACTGACCAAATCAAGTCAGCAGTTGGCGGTTGTTTGCATGAGTGTACCGCACTCACCACAAACCGAAAGAAGTGGCGATTACTTATGAGGCGCATAACATCTGCCCACAGCAGTGACGACCACGACCGCTCTGACAAGAGTAATACGACAAGGAAAAAAAATGTCAATGTACTATAAAACTATACTATTACCCGTTGAATCTAAAGTAAGCAATACGTCGCGAGTAATTGTGAATAATCTATATTCCATAATATAATTTCTAATTAATGTGTAATATATTATTATACTATGTAATAAAAAAAATTGCACATTACCTAATCTACGTTTTAACGTCATAGAACCTATCCATGAGTATGAATATATGGCTAATATGAACTTAACACACCAAATTATATTTTTAGGTACTTTTTTTTCCAAATAGTTTAAAATCAATGAAAATTGTGATAAACCTAGACTCAGCGAAGCACTCCTCTAACTAGAGCAGATTTTAAACAAAGTCTGCCAGGCTGACACCGTGAACTCACCTTTTGCAACAATTGACATTTCAAAGTTCGTAAACACATCGTTTTCTGGGTTTTTACTTTACTACTACGCCTAAAATGAACGTAACTAATACCGCCGAACACTGGATTTCTTTTCTTTACCCAGGAATTAATTTTAGTTACAATTAGTGATGTCATAAAATATCTGTAATTTTAAAATAGGACAATATCGAGATGGAAATCATCTAAAATAAATCAAATTATGTTATAGGGTTTTTAGTTTCTGTTACAATGTCCATGTATTATAATTGTAGATAATTTTACATCATTTATATTATTAAAATACAGTTTCGAAAGTACATATATTTATTCAGTAAGTCAGAGCGACGATGTCCAATTTTTATATGTTTTTATCAAAGGTGACGCTCCCGTCATTTAACAGAGATAAAATTTCGAGTCTGTGCCTACTGCTAAAATTGGATATATTGGCTTCCAATAGTTTCTACGTGTTTGATTTTATTTTGAAATCTACATAAAATTTCTACCAAAATTAATCTTGGCAGGAGATGTTGAGTATTTTTTGAGTTGAGGCATATTTTCGGTTAGTTATTTAGTTATAGAATGCGTTATTTACTTTTAATGATATATATTTATGATTATTTTCAGCGTATCTAAAATGAAAAAATGCGCTTTTTTTTACTGTTTTTAAAATTATTTATATTTGGCTCCGTATGATATTACCAGCTTAAGAATTCAAGAATAGATAGAGAATCATTAATTCGTTAGAATTTGGTTCTTTAAATGGTTACTAACACTGAGTTGGTAAAATGACATGCACAGTAGGTACGACGTTTGGCGTTAACCTCTGTTTAGAATAAAACAAATAAAATTATGTCACATTCGTTTGATTTCGGAGAAAATTCAAATATTAATAATATTTTCTGAAAGATTTTGATACTACCCTCAAGGGACGATATGTAATGCTCGAGACGTATCAATAATGAATTCGTATGTTTCAATATTTAGCAATAATCGCGGAGAAGTTTTTCTTTAATTTGTTGTAGAGGCCAATTTACAGAAAGTTTACATATTTCATACATACATAGAAAACCCGATATCATACATAATGTAAAAAGTTCAAAAATATAATACGTTCAATTATCCTGACGGATTGGTGCTTATCGGTTATTATATAATTGCACGTTCAACCTCAAGTTTAGTAATATGCCGATCATAATTATCAAAATTAACGAGAAGTAACTACTCATCATATTATTCGCTTGTTAAAATGGCGCTCGCTGATTTATACTGCGCCGGTCTAGCCACACCCGGGTTATTGACATCCGAAGCCTAGACCTTTATCGATCCAGTCTAGAGCGCCGCGCATCTCATTTTAAGGATTGCGCAAGGCATTTTGTATCTACCTATATTTATATCTGAGTAACGAGAAAAACTGTAAGCTTGTTCCTGTAAAAGTTGCCTGATACACTTCATAATCATTTTGTACATATTTCGGTCAGCAAAAAGAAAATTAATTAATACCTAACCGACTTTCTATAAAAATATGTTTGATGAATCAATGGTAGAACAAGGGTGCTTTTCAGAAAATAATAATTTATCATATTCGAATAAACACACATACAACGTCAATATTATAATGTGATGACATCAGAATACTCTGAGATTAATATTTAGGGACATTTTAAATCTACTTAGTATTGAATTTTCTATAATCTAAACTAAGTTAATTGTTTAGTATATTTTAAAGATAAAAACGAAAGCACCTACCTGCGGCGAGCATTCGCAACGCGGGCACCATCCGCTACATCTCCGTTTTCATCCAAAGGTGGAGACGGCTACCAGAAATTATAAAACAAAATTTATTGATGTGATATTAATATGTATAATAATAACGTCACTTTCAACAATAACGAGAATTATAAATACGAAATACACCAGTGTCCCAGAATTACGCACACACATTGTTATCCAAGTTTAATATATCAATGTTATTCAATAAACTTATAAATGAAACCAAATATGATTACAGTAACAAGCATAAAATGGAACGGTGAACATAAAAAAAATATATTCAAACAACCCTATTTTTCAAACTATCGTAAATTAGTAGATATGGATAACTTCATTGCCCCAAATAAAATCTATCGTGCATTAGTGAATACATGATTTTGTCCGAACAAACACCATTTTTGTTATTTAGATTTTCTTGAAGCTTAATCACAACAACTCTAATGCAACTTACAAAAAAAAAATTATTACTGTGGTCGAATGTTTTTCATACCGTCTTGTCTACCAAAATAAATGTTTTGGTCGTTATATGGGTTTCAAAACTAATATTAGTTCAAAAATAGACTTGGCAACATAAATTTTAGGTCTCTTAACATTATTGTTAAGTAAACAATTTCATTACTTCTATGTTTATTGTTATATGCACAGTTAAATACATATAAAAACTGGAAAAACACAATATAAAGAGATTCTAGAAATGAGTATTTCGTTTTATTGTATATGAAAAATACTGCTCTCAATGCAGAATCACTTTCGCGTAAAAAAAACTCTTGGCAGGAAAATTTTGTACATCATAGTAGTATATACAATATTTACTACTAGAGTAAGATTTATTAAGGATTGCGGTCCCTTCAAAAAAATTAAATAAATTTTTAGTAATTAATTAAATAATAATCAATCGTAAAATTTAGTCTCTCTTAATATTTTAACTTTCTTGTAGCCCGTAATCATTCCTGTGTAAAAACCCTTTCGAGTATATTTTAATGTAAGGACCGAATGAAACTTTCTTCTGTAACTGTAATTACCTACTGTTACATTGCCTTACCGGTTTCCTTCATAAGACCTAAGTAGACCTTTGTAAGTATGAAACACAGAAATGTGTATTATAAAACACGCATACAAAGCTGTGAAACAATAAGAGCAAACTTTTAAAATTGATTCCATGTAGACAAATACCACACCCTTGAATTAATTATTTGGCCAAACAAAAAGTTACCTCTTCTTGCGTGTCATCAGGACCAGGAACATCCATAAATTCTATAGGAGGCTCACTGCTGGACGATGCATCAGAATTTCCCTACAGTAGGTACATTAACCAAATAAACAAATACATATTTACAATTTTTTTTAACCTATTCTTTAAAAATATGTTGTTACTCTTAGTTGTAATACTTACTTCTTTAATAGAAATAAAAAGTAACAATTACTACACAATAGTTTTCACTTTCATACTAACATGCAAACAAACAAAAATAAAAGCAATTAATAAATATATGAAGAATGGGGAATAAATTGAATGTTTATAATGTTGAATAAAAACTGCTCTTAGCATTTTCTAACACATGCCATTTTCTTTTTAATCCTGATATAAAAGACAGCATTAGTCTAAAAAAAAAATTAAATTACCGTGCCAGTTATATGGGCATTAAGTTGAGCCAAAGATGTTTTGATATCTGCTATCAGACGTCGAATAAATTCCATACGTCCAGCTGTTGGAGACAGATTCATTTGCTGCTGTTGCTCAATCAAGAAATCTGGTGTTAAAGCCTAAAGCCAAAATATATAATTATTACTAACTATTATTAACGACACCTCTGTAAAATTAATATTGCATTTATAATTAAATTTTAAAAGATTATTACCAATAGATGTCTGATTTGGTGATGCAAGCCATTGTTTTGTCCTTCAGAAGTATGAATATGTGCTGACGCAGGTCCAAGGGGGTTTATAGTAGACTGCCGAGATTGGGGACTTGGTGGCGCACGTTGAACAAGGTGAACAACTTTCCCGTGGACGTCTAAACATAGTAAACAAATTGTAAAAAAAACCAGACAAGGTGTCATATTATACATTTATCACAAACATATGTTTGTCACTTACATACAGAGAATACAAAAAAAACTCTCAAGCTTTCTTAAGTTAGATATTGTTACCAGATTTGGTTGTATTAACTAAGCTGCCCCAGATAAACGGAAGCAAGAACAATTTACAGATGTATAGAAAATGTGTGTTATTTTCATATCATATGAAAACATTGTTTTTTTTTACCCATGGAGGCAGTCAAGCATACGGCCCACCTGATGGTGTGTGGTTACCATCGCTCGTCGGCAATGCCAAGGGCACAGCCAAGCTACTACTTACCGACCAAGTAAGTCGTTGCCTACTGAAACTTTATTTCCTTTTTAAAAAATATTTTTTTTTATCTAAGCTCTTTTAGCTCTTGCTAAATTTCATTGGTCTAGATTTTCATTACATTTGTATTGCGTAGCAAATATTATCTGTACCTATGTCAGGCAGACAAATCGTGAGACGGTGACGAGAGACAGCAAAGTGATCCTATAATGAAACCCTTCTTTCTGTTTGAGAACTAGATCCCTAAAAATAAATATATTTTCAAATTACCATATTCTGTGAGCTTTTTGTCATCTTGTAAAACTCTTCCACAGAAAATGAGTCTCTGAAGATGTATCTCAATACCCATCTGCTCCCGTACTTTCTCTTTGAGCTGCTGTACTGTGATCTGAAATACTTGTTATTTGTAGTGGCATAACAGCATAATAATTTCGCAATAATATAGCATATAAAATTTCTTGCAGTAGCTGTGTTATTGACTAAAAACTTACATTAAAACATTAGCAAATTGTAAAGTTTTATGGATTTTGTGACTTCCAATGTAATTACAATAATAGAACATGCTTTTCTTTATTTATAATTGACAATGAACATTAAATCATTACATATGTAACAATCAATGAATCATACAAGACCAAATAATATTTTTCGGAATAGCAGTGTGGGTTACATAGAAATGAAAGCAATGTGGAATAAAGGTCTTTAAGAAAACCAGTTGATGGAAAAAAATGGGAATAGAGAGTAAGCATTATTTATTTATCAACTTCAGCACAGTCTACAACATTGGATAACAGCAAACTATAAATAAAAAATTTAGTATCCCTCATAGCTAGCCAACTTAACAAAGGCTGCCTCTAAAGGTATTATTATTACACATCCTGTGATTGGAAATGGTGTGGAGCAGTGAAAATAGTCATTAAAAAAAGCCTTAATAAAAAGATACACTTTTAACATGCTGTTAGCACTAGCATGTTATTAGATAAAAAAATTGGTATTGTGATTTGAGTTTATGGTCATCTATCTTGTATTACAGGGCTTAATTTACTAAAATGTGGATTACACCACCCACCTTGCAGTCATATAGGTCTTAGTGGGATGGATGCTCTGTTTTTCAAAAAACTTCGCTAAACTGTATATAGCCATTTTAATAAATGAAACATACAAAAATATGTCTTTGTAGCCTACTTGAAAACTAACAATGATACTCTAAATACAAATTCCACGAAATTTTCCTTCATACAGTTTATATTGTACTACTTTATTATTTAAGGGTCAAACAAGTGAAAGTATGTAAATGTAGTAGGTTCTTCAATATTCATTGATACAAGAAACACTGACTCCTCAACTAAATTACCATATCAATATTTTTTTTCTATCTTGTTCCATAATGTTCTCATACACATGCATACTTTTCAATTGCATTGAGTATTATAAGTTTCACTAAACTTATTGATGTTACTCAAGTAAAAGGTTCTTAATTAATTTTAAATTACAGAAAGTTGTTGAAAATGATGAATATCATTATAATAAATGTATATATGTACATTATGTAATTACTTTTTTACTAAGCTACACTATAGTTTCAAAGGAAAATAGAAATACCTATTATGACTAAAACTCAGTCCAACAAAATTTGGCAGTTGACAGTATACATGAAGTAACTAAAGAAAATTCGCATTGCAAAGGTTTAAGCAGCTGCCTCGCAAAAAACTAATTTAAGAGTTATCTTTGCTAACTACATGCATACATAGAATCCCAATAACTACAAAAAAGCTATAAGTAAGAATGATTAAAATTATTATATGAAACATGAGTTTTTTTTTTGTGTAGCTGCAACTAGAAAATTCACTAGAAAAAAGAAGCAAAATACATAAACTAAGTAGTGCACATTTCCAAATTAATTCATAAAAATTTCTAAAATTATTTTTGCGAAGCAAATCAATACGGCGCAGGCGTGATGGAAGCAGAGTGCAGGACAACGAAACTGTCTATAATTAAACGGAAGAAAGACAAACAGTAGCTACAATTGGCCACATAGTAAGAAAAACTACTTCAGCATAATGCTATGCTTACCTCATCATCCACAGACATCTCATGATTAACAGCATCTAATGTCTTAATCGTAAATTCAATCATTTTTTACGAAAACATGAAGGCTCCCTGCGTTGTAGACTTATCAACGCGTGCCTAAAAACGAAATTATATTCACACACCAAAAAAGTACTTTAGCTACTACGAAAGAAATTGTTTAGCTAATACGAAAGACTTACGCTTATTTAAAAAAAAACGACTTGTATTTATAAAAGATATATGAACGTACACATGTATTTTTAATTTTTTTATTCAGGTTGAAAAATCTTTTTTCTGATGACAGCAACCAAAAGGGCATTATTGTCAGAAAGAGCCACAGATACCAATAGATTGAAAAAAATCCACTCGGACATATGGATGAAAATCAATAGTGGATGGGGCCATAGATTAAGCTAACTTTACTTTTTTAACCAAAATTTTGTATAATATACCTACCTGTTCAACGCATACTGTGGAAACCAAAAACACACTTAAATGACCATTGAAATCATTTTGCTTAATAAAGAGTTCTTTTATACAAATATCTTTATATTGCTCTATAGATGTGACCATCAGCCGAATTTATCTTTGGTCTGCAACATTTTAATTACACTTTAGTCTGTCTGGCACCTTGTTTAAGAATCTGCACAATAAACTATCACTGGTAAACTAATATAAATAGCTCTGCGCTGTCTATCCCGAAGAGAATTACAAGCACAGCCTTTTACTCAGAGCGAGACTACAAAAAGGAGAAAAATCAATACCCACTAAGCAGTCACAGTACCAAAATGAATTGTATATTCTATAACGACTTTTAATTTTTTAGTCTTCCAACATTGAAATTTGCTAACGTGGCAAAAATAAAAAAGGCCATTTAGCTGACTTCTATGCGGTAAAAATCCTTAAATTATATATAAAAATGGTTTACTTTGTCTTTCAAATTGAATACTTCTCATGACGAATCTACTTTTATAAATTTGTGCTTTATTTTGTATAGATTTTTTTAATTAACATAGGAGCGCTATCTTAAAGGGATATATTATATTTTAAACTAATGACTAAAATCATGAGAAAGATAAACACCCGCTTTGTAAAAATCTTCTTAAAATATCGTTCGTTAAAATATCGCTCGTTTTTATATTATTATTGTATTATTGTAGCTTGCGTAGATATCTGGTAAGTATACGAGTAATAACAATGTTAATGGAGAATCGGTGCTACGGTCTTGTGACGGAATGTTGCTAGTTAATTTTAAGTTTCATTCTTAGTGTTGGTAGTGTCAGTAATTTCATCAAGACATTCTATGGTATACGATTTAACACATTGCCTGAGCCTCAAGAAATCGTAATATAGAACGAAGAAGTATAATGTTTTTAGTATATTTATAGTAGAAGGATTTAAAGGGTACAAAAAAAAAACATTTTTAAATTTCATTGTATAGTTATAGTCATCTATTAGTATTATACCAGTCATACTATTGTTACGCGCTGCGGTTCGGGATAAATAAAATTCTACCGAATTACAAGTATACACTGTGAGGGAGTTCATATAGAGTCCCTTCTTTATTTCGCCGTAAAGTCGTGTTTTATGTAATTAACACCACAGTTGGAACAATAGAAATTTTATTGTAGTAGCGGCTTAATCAATTCTAAGTTATTATATTAAATTATTTTTACGTTTTAAATTTTCGGCAGTAAAAAGGTCCCGTCTCACAGACTATATTATTTTTCCCCCCACCTCTCGTGCGTTCCGGCTTACGCATCATATAAATGTGCGTTCTTAAACGCCACAACTGTATTCAACACATAGAACACTTATATACACAGTGCTGGATTAAGCAAGCGCGGGGCCCGTAGCAAATTATTTCAAAGAGCTCTTGATCTACTATGGGACTTAAGTATAAAGTGGTAAAAAACAAATCAATAGTCTATACGTTTATTTGCCATCTATAGGTTACAATTTTGTGGGTATTTAGTAAATTACTATAGGCGCTGTTAGGCTCTGACAAGTACAAAAAGCCAGAGATGAGATTTTCTAGCTATATAGAATAATTTCGATAAGAAACTAACAATTGAAAACTGATGATACTACACAAATTATTTTTTCCAATACATATTTCAAAGTTGATATTTAATGCAAAGTATATTATTTTTTTAGGAATAGCTAATGCTATATTTTATCAATGGTGCACTTTAAATAATGTTTATGTTTTATGTTTATTTATTTGTTTCTTTTATTATTTTTTAAACTTCTACAAAGTAACTTTTCTAGATTTCATGTGGGCAAATTGAGAAATGATACTATTCGTATAAATTTCTGAGCAATTCATGTTATATATTCATCAAAGCGAGATAATTCGGATGTTCTTGACTCATAATGTTCCTTGTGACTGTTAATCTTACCAAAAAATATATAATTTTAACAACATAAATCGAACCATCTCAATCCTGCTACACATCCACACTGTGTCGGGTAAGAGTGCTTGCATACGTTAGACTTTTTGTAGAGTTGATTATCAGGCTGATTGAAATTCTACACGTTTATACAAACAACTTTTTCTTAATAAGTCACTCAAAAAATTAAGCTCGGGCAGAGATGAGTGGGTTTAAATATGCGGGGACCCCGTTCGCGCGGGGCCCGTAGCAATTGCTACTCTTGCTATATGGTTAATACGGCACTGTATATACAGGGCGTTAAATGTGTGCAAGTGTTGAGGGGGTGTGTTGGAGTTTGAATATGAACATAATGGTAGGCAACACTTAACACGTGTAAGGTTACAGATTTCGAATATAGGAATTATTTTAAATGTTTAAAACAAATAATTGTCTTCTCGTCAGTGAATACAATGAATTCTCATCTAGAGACGGTCAGAGCAACATCTTGGAGTTTTATAAAAATAAATTATTATAATGGTGTAATAGTGTACAAATTATTTGCAATATAATTAGGTATATTAGCCATGAAGCAGAGTGTTTTTAATTAGCCCCTCATCAACCTACAAAACCCAATCCCCTCAAATTTAACCGTCCAACAAAATATAATTTTGGCTTTCGCCGAAAAACCCAAACATTCAAATAGTTTTACTTCCTACTAGGCTGCACTAAAAGTATCGGGAATGGAATATTTCCACTGTTCCTGTCATATTAAAATATTTTTAATTGAAAACTCCTTGGTTTTAAAAATCGAATACCATTTATTTATTTAAAAAAAGATTCTCGGTCTTGTCACGAGGTTTTGTCAAACTTGTTTAGTCGTTGAGAAAATGGAATTGACTCGAGAAAATTCAAGAGCGATGATTTATTATGACTTTCGAAGTGGTTTAACACAAAAACAGTGTGTTGACCGGATGATTTCTGCATTTGGTGATGAAGCCCCATCCAAAACCACAATTTATCGCTGGTTTGCTGAGTTTCAACGTGGACGTGTCAAGCTCAGTGATGATCCCCGTCAAGGTCGTCCAAAAACTGCAGTCACCCAAGAAAACGTTGATGCTGTGCGTAAGCTGATTGAGGAAGATCGACATGTGACATACCGCGAAATTCAGGCAACTTTAGACATTGGCATGAGTCAAATACAAATAATCTTGCATGAACAATTAGGTGTAAAAAAGTTGTTTTCCCGATGGATACCGCATTCGCTCTGTGAAGAGCAAAAAGCGGCTCGCGTTACTTTGTGCGTCAGAACTCTCGAAAGATTCCACGCAGGATCCTCAAATGCTGTATACAACATTGTATCAGGTGACGAATCCTGGATATACGCGTACGAACCCGAAACAAAAAACCAGTCACAAGTTTGGGTGTTCGAAAATGAGTTAAAGCCAACAAAAATTGTTCGTTCACGGAGTGTTGCAAAAAAAAAAGGTGGCCACGTTTGTCTCCAAAACCGGCCATGTTACGACTATTCCTCTTGAGGGACAAAGAACGGTTAATGCAGATTGGTATGCTAGTATTTGTTTGCCACAAGTCGTTTCTGAACTCCGTAAAGAGAACTGCAACCGCCGCATCATCCTCCATCACGACAATGAGAGTTCTCACACCGCGCACAGAACAAAAGAGTTTTTAGCAAGAAAACATAGAATTATTAGACCATCCGCCGTACAGCCCCGACCTAAGCCCTAATGATTTCTATACTTTCCCTAAAATAAAGAATAAATTGCGTGGACAGAGATTTTCATCACCTGAAGAAGCTGTGGACGCCTACAAAACGGCCATTTTAGAGACCCCAACTTCTGAATGGAATGGTTGCTTCAATGATTGGTTCCGTCGTATGGAAAAATGTGTCAAATTTCGCGGAGAATACTTCGAAAAGCAATAAATACATTTTTAAATAGTAATGTTGTCACTTCGTTAATTCCCGAAATTTTCAGTGCCGCCCTCGTTTAATATACACCTACTGTCAATTTCATTCGTTTTATTCATCGTCATAGACAATTTGTACCTACACTGAATTCAACAGTCAACTGAGTCAACTTTGCGTTTCATTCTCTAATATATTAAGTGTATAATCTATGCGTTTCATCATTTGTCTCAAAAGGTTCGTAACGTTAAGAATTTTCTTCTACAATTAAGTAAGTAGAAATGCTTTCCATAAAAAGATAGAGTTCTTAATAAATTCAGATATTTCAAGGATTAGGTTAAAATGGTATGATAAATATGTAACAATTTTCAGGAAAACGTAAAAACCTATTGGCGTTCCCGGCACAACGCACCAACGACATGGCTTCTACTCAAGAAGAAATTCTTCCTGAAGGATGGGAAGCTCGCAAGAGTAGAAGTACAGGTAAATTATGCGTTTGCAATTAATACCTATTATGTTTCTTTTGTTAAAATAACATAAACGATTAATCAAATTTCTAATCAATCAACCTAAATCAATAGAATGTTATTGATTTCTAAGATAAAATGGCAGACATTGAGTGTAAAATGTTGGTAGGTAGATTTATATTTCTCGGATCGATATCGAAACAACGAAGACCATCTATGTGTTTATATAAATTTCATTGAGAAATTGTTTTGATTATTATATAGTGATTACTAAAAACTACTTTCAAACGTTTTTATTTTTGAAGTGCTTCAGTGAGTTTTTATTAACACTATTTACTGTTGATTCGGCGTCTTACGAGCCCGCGCTGTAGGAACCACCAGCCTGCCTATTCTTGTTAAGTAGCTATTCCTTTTTGGTTTGTAGGGTGGGGCAGTCATACAATTGACATCGAGACTTGCACCTCGTGTGTGATGTGTGGCGCTGTTTACATTATGATATTTGATGAGCTCTGCAATGTTTGCAGTGGAAACCATTTAACATTAGTGTGTGTTTTTTAATGTTCTCCATAGCATATAAAAATTAACTCAAATTTGTATGCAGTTGGAACAACGCCCCTAGCGGCAAACGTAGGCAAAGTTTCCAACTCCATACAAACTTAAGTTAACTTTTACGCCATCGAGAATGTTATAAAACTCGCGTTAAGCACAAAGATTGACTGTGAGCTTGTCGACACATATATACATACACATAAAAAAGTATAAAAGAACTGGTTCACAATATTAAATATTCAATTTAAGGTTTTGGGTATCACAGCCATAGTTAAAAAAATAATATAAAAAGCTGTTGGCATAAATTTGACTATGCGACTATTATGTAATATTTTATAATAAATACTTATTTTACCTGTTTAATTTTGTATTCACATTTTACAATTTTAACTGTCTGAAAAATTATTATATATTGTATTGTTTTAATCCCTACCAGTTTATAATTATTGTAATTGGTATCAACAATGATGCACTTGTAACAGCAGATAAATAGTTGTGACCAATTCAAATGGTCATCTGGTCTTTGGCTGGGATTGCTTTTGCTATTGGAACCAGAAACTATAGATTATCCCTTTCTGGCTGAGCCTGTGCTCGCCCACCTGTCCTGGTGAAATTGGAAGGGCTCCAGGCCACCAGTATTACTTCCCAAAAAAGCTATAAATTACATATTTTTTCTTTTTTTTTATAAGTCGATTAAAGCTAACAGATCAGTACATAATTATACACTAAAATTTTATACTTCCCATACAATTTTCTTAAAAACAAATCCATGATACAAATATAAAGGGTTGAAATAAGTAATGGGAATAATGCCGTAAATAATGCACTTTACCAACGTGGTATACTTTACCATCATAGTAATAACTTGGACTGCCCAAACTGTGAAATCTATACTAATATTATAAAGATGAAGAATTTTTATATTTGTTTGAATATTCTAATCTCAGGACTTATTGGACTTAATTAAAAAAATGTTTCAGTGTTTAGCCCATTTATTGAGGAAGACTATAGGCTATATAACGTCACATTAAGACCAATACAAGTGCAACACTAATAAACAATGTTTCAAAAACGGGGTGTTTTCCTTTTGAGAGGTTCTGCTGGTTAAAGTTAGCCAAATGAATGAATGACAGAATTGTTATCTTTAAAAGTTCTGAAATAGTCTACGGTAGCATAATAATGTGTCCATATTTTAAGGTTGGCTCACTATAACCTTTTTTATGTCAACAAAATTCTAAAATGAAGCATTCTTTGTGAAGGTGTTATTATAAAGATAATATTAATCCTTATCTGTATCCTTATTATCCTTAACACCTATCCATACAATCTTCTTATGTATTAGTGAGAATTTGTCCTGTTCACTGACAGGATGGACTAACATGTGAGTCAATTTTATGCTGAAATTTAATAGTTGATTCATTTTAGGAATGACATACTATCTCAATAAGCATACAAAAAAGTCTCAATGGGAAAAACCGGGTGGACCAGCTTCTGATGATGATGATGAAGATGATGATGATGAGGGTGGTATTCCCAAGGAGGTAAGATGCAGCCACTTGCTTGTAAAACACAGTGGAAGCCGCCGACCATCCTCATGGCGTGAAGAGCATATTACACGTACTAAGGAGGAAGCTCTTGATATATTACAAGGCAAGATATTGAATTAATATAAATTTTATTTATTCCCATCATCAACGGCAAATACAAAATAAGAATCAAATAATTTCTTTAAAAAATAAAATATCTATTAAGTTTAAACTTAATTGCTTTAAAAAAACACTTGTCTGTTCACTGTTGGAAGATTATTCTCAATGCATAATGCAAAATACAAATTAAATACATAGTAAAATATAGCTTTTTTTCTCTGTGCAAAATTAAGTCACTAAAAATAACATTTGAAAGTATTATTATTTTCAGAGTATCGCCGTAAAATCATTGACAGAGAAGCTAAATTTGAAGAGCTGGCAAGTACATATTCTGATTGTTCATCAGCAAAACGTGATGGGGATTTGGGTCGTTTCAAGAAAGGTCAAATGCAGAAACCATTTGAAGACGTCGCATTTTCCTTGAAAATAGGACAATTGAGCCAACCAGTTCACACTGACTCTGGCATTCATATCATTCTTAGAACTGCCTAAAGATTGTTTTCACAGTTAATACTACTTAAAAAAGTGTAAAACAATAATATCAAACTTATATACCCACAATATCGCAAATACAATCAAGTATAGATCTTTTTCTTTCTACTACATAAATTGAGACTGTCTTCCTTTTTTTCCAGCATTCTTGAAGAAGTTTACAATTGATCTTGTTTACAAGTTCTTTGTTTGTATTGACTTTTTTGTATTATTTTTCTTTAGATTCTCTTTAAACTAACTGCATGTGAATATATGTGACTAGATGTACTTATTAGTCATGAAAATTTTCATTTATCAGTATGATAATTTTGATTGTGGAGTTTCTTGAACGGAGCATTAAACTTTGCATTCTTTATATAATAATAAGTAAAAAGGCTAATAAGGCTATTTGGCTTAAGCGACATTTCGCTTAATACGCGACCTGTTTCTTTGTAATTAAAGGTGCGTTTTTTTTTATATCGGTATCAACAGTTCGATGTTTTTAATTGAACTTCAATTAAGTTTACTCCAATCAAATAACGGAACTTTTTTTTTGTTAGTGATAAGGCAGGAAAACTGACAACTTAAAATATATTTACCTTTTTTAATACTTAATCTTTAAAATGACGATTTTTCAATTCTCTTAAAATACCTTGAAATTCGGCTCATACATATGAATTCTAAAATCTCACATAGCATAGCGCATGTAACAGCTTGCGTCTGTTACACAACTAGAGGACTAAAAATGTAGTAAAAATATATTTGAACTCAATAGGACACCATTTCACGGAAACATTTTCAGTGAAATTCCTTAACAGTGTAGTTACAATTTATTATCTAAAGTTAAAAAAGGTCATACTAAACAGCTAAGTTGAATTTTCGCTTATGCCGTCGAGATTTTTCATTTATCAATTTGTCAAAACTTATTGCTTCCCTCTTAAATCTGCAAGGTGATTTAAAAAGGCTTTGTCTCACAAGATCAGTGTAACGAAAAATCTAGCCATCGCAGTATTTAAAAATTTAAAATATTCATTCTATGACGAATTTAACACATAAAGAGCGGGCTGTTTTACTGAAAATTGGAAAATCGGCACTTATTTCCTTTTTTACTATAGAGCACTTTATAATAAGAGTTCGATTAGAAATTATGAACTTACCCACGGAGTAACTTGGCCAGATTGAAAATTTGTTGCGCCGATTTGCGCAATAAGTAATTAATACCATTAACCAATTATTTAAACATAATAAGCAAGAAATATAGACACGCATATAAGTTAGAAGTGCTTGTCTAGTCCGGCCTAGCTAGTCCGCGCGTATTTATGGCCTTTTCATCACCGACAACTGCGAGCAGTATCACAGATGAAAAGTTTTCTCTATTATTATTATTATTGGTGTAGTTTGTGCATTATCTAGCATATCTAGCATTAATAAAGCTAAATTGATATTATGTTGTGCTAATTATTAATACCTTTGTTACGAACTGATATTATTATTGTTTTTATAAATTACACTTCTCTAAATATCCCAGTTGTCGAATTGATACCGTTTCTCAGTTAATTACGGCTCAATTACGAAACAGATCTATTAAATAACTTATAATTTTCTTTCAATATGGGTAGGCAATAAATGGTTTATGGTATTTATCAAACCAAAACCAATTCAAAATCCGACTTCGAAGCCATGCATGGTTGTTTCATTCCTTCAGTATATTTTGTGTGCACAGACTTTTCCAAACATACTAACATAATAATATAATTTAGGTATCTGTACATTATTTACTTACTTAAACTTGGGAGTCTACATCGACACCGTACTCGGAACCATTGATGGAATCGAGATATGAAGGTTATTGCATTCCAATGTTAAAGAAACAAGAAAAAATATTCAAGATTAACTCATTCCGATGTTTTTTTCTACAATGTAATACAAACTCTGCAAAATTGAACCTCAAAACTGATCTCATTAATTAATTTTCTAGCTATCGACAACTGTTTAAGGCGCCTACTGGTGGTAGGACATCTTGTGAGTCCGCGCGGGTAGGTACCGCCACCCTGCCTATTTCTGCCGTGAAGCAGTAATGCGTTTCGGTTTGAAGGGTGGGGCAGCCGTTGTAACTATACTGAGACCTTAGAACTAATATCTCAGGGTGGGTGGCGCATTTACGTTGTAGATGTCTATGAGCTCCAGTAACCACTTAACACCAGGTGGGCTGTAAGCTCGTCCACCCATCTAAGCAATAAAGAAAAAGTAGGCTCCCGTATTTTCATGTATTTATTCTTTGATTTGGTAAGAACAGGGAACCAACGATTCCGAGTCGAAGACGAGTGATGAGTATACGGTAAAATTTACTACATGATATTATTGCCTAACCTATATCCGAATTAAAAATCACCACACCCATGGAATGAACGTTACTCCAGAGATCGCGGGGAGCCGCTTCCAGTTAGCATCAGGTCACATTGCGGATTCAAGAGACAGTTACGAAAACTACAATTATATGCTTTACTAATATACTATAATATAATTTTCTAATCGTTTTATTCAGATATTTTCTAATTATAACTAAATAACTGATAAGATGTAAGAGTTTTACCCAAATTTAGCATTAAGGCAATCCGTCAAGTCAGTCATTAGATTGTAATTACACATTATTTGCTAATGAAAGGTTTCAGGCATTGGAGGATTTGAAATACCGGTTTCATTTACACAAGTATTAAACATTATGGCCATAAATCTTTATCATTATTATTTATTTACAAGGCGGGTCTTCCTACTCCGCTTTAACAGGCACTTACTTTTTACTTCCCGGGAGTTTTATTTTTAATTGCTGTGTATGGGCAGGCGATATAATTTCCCTTAATGAAGTTTAGTACTAGTAAGTATAAAGTATTTAGCGGACTCCATAGGCATCACAACGCGCATACTGCTACCCACTTCGAGACAATGATACAATTAAAGGGTTCCACCCGAACTCAATTGTATTGCATAAAGAATGTCTCTCACACATCAGTTTAACGGTATAACCAGGTAAATTGCTACCCATTCTCCAGTGAATCCTTTCCTTAAACGACACTCACTGGAAGGAGATGGAGTGGTGCCATTCTAAGCCACTACACAGCAAGGCTTCATGAGATAACACATAGTGCAAATGTGCGCAAAAGATCTACTGGTATCTCTTTAAGTGAGCGACCCAGAAATATACAGTTCCATAAAAAGCATAATATGTCATAGGCTTAGCAAGCTTTAATTGACCCACTGAACGAAGAGCCGATGGCTGTTAGAAAAGTTAATGGATTTTTGTCCGGAGAAAATGCAAATGCAAGCATAGTGTGGTACTTACGCGTAACTACATTTTTTTTTCTTTTTTTTATCGCTGGGGAATCCATTTACTCATACCCGGTCCGGGGGGTAACGAACCGGGTTATGTCGGATTCCGGCGACTCCTGAGAGGAGGAGGGGAACGAGGAGGGCCAAGATTCTCCATCTCCCCGAATTCCTCGCAGGAGATTACGCCTTGAAAAAGGCGGGCGAGGCGCTCGCCCCGCAAAACCAACTACCGACTAAGCCCCATCGAGCTCCACCACACGGGCTACACCAGACCTACGGTATCGCAGTGCGCGCCGAAAGTCCGCCTTCGCCGGTACCCGTCCTGATGATAAGAGGGAATTTCATCTCCGGGAATATCCCGAAGGACGTCGTCTCGGGAGACACACACTGGGCGGCGCACAGGAGCCACCTACCACACGTACCTACACCTACTGACAAGTTATACTAACGCTCTGTACGTAAACGTTCCTAATTCGCGGGACGTTCCGTAAATATGCAAAAACCCGCTTACAAAGGATATTCGGTTGGATACCTACGTATTAGAATCCTTTTTATAAATGTGTATGTGCCGATGTACCGATTAGACCCGCGAATAAAAATCTTTAGCCGGAAATATAGGAATTGGGTAGCATTATTTTAATCCGTGAATAGTGAAAACGCAAATGAAGGAAGCGCCAATAAGGAGTATTTAGTGTAGTCGAAACTCAAATACTAAGAGATTTTGACTATGTTACTCAGTATGATTCCTTAGGGAGGCTGGTCATTCAGGCAATGGTTGTAGATCTCGTGGAAGATTTCCGAACTTGTGAACTTATTAAGTAGAGACCCTGATAATCTAAAATATCGCCAAAAGCATCGTCTAATCGTCATCATTGTCCGCGACTATTCTTGAGTTCAAGAGTATGACTCGAAAAAATGAATTATCGTTTGTACAACAATAATCTGTGTATATAATTATTAGATCTTATTATTTGGTAATTAAAAGGTTAATGAGGTGGTTAATCAACATTTTTGAGGAAGTTAAATTGTAGCTCATTAGTTTCACTTGTACAGCTATTTAACAACTTTAAAATATTACCATATCGGTGATTGCTTACTTCAACAGTTCTAAGAACATTAAAATTGGAAAGATGCAGTTTACTTTGGTATTTATAAATTTCCTGTTGCATTCATGGCAACACCTTGGCCTAAAAATCGTCGAACCGGTTTCATCTCAAACAAGTAAAGTTATGATTAAAATTATTTTAATGGTATTAGAATCTTTGTTTATTATTGTCATTTTGCAATTGTTGACATTTTGAATAACTTACGGCTTTCGTGATCACGGAAGACAGGTTTTACTTATTTTACGATACTTTTCTTTATTATTTTATAGTATTGAGTTTTTGGGTTTAATTTTGTGAAGTGATTAATAACTTTTAAAATCATTCGCTGTTAGTTTTTAAGACATTAAGTTACTAATATACCTATTTGAAATTTATGCCGTCACTGCCCGATAAACTAAAATGTTTTATTTACACTTTGGGAATCGTAAAATAATTATAATAATTCGTACTGAAATCCAAGTAAAAATAGTTGTGGAAATTCCCTTTCCATTAATGAAATACCTATCGGTACAGTAAACTTAGATCGTATGATTGTTTCGTAATAGTAGGGGAGCCCAAGCGGGTTTTTCGGGATTTACTAAAGCGCGGCAGATTAATATACAGGGGATACCTTGTACCCGGTAAAAATACCTCTATCAAATATAAACCTCATAAATAAGGCCGCGCGTCCAGGATAAAGGATCAG